GATAGCTTGAGCTCTCTCAAACTGGCCCCTCAAGAGCCTGTGGTCATTGCCAAAGCCAGGACCAAACCTGTGGCTTTCCTGGTAGACAAGAGAACAGAACTCCCTGCCTTCAAAAATTCCTTCTGTCAAAAAGTTATTGTCACCAGGGGAATTGTAACTCTTGTTTCTCATCTCTTCTGCCAGGCACAGATTTGCAGCCTGGGAGGACATCTCACCAAACATGACTTCCTGTATAAGCCAGTCCCCATAATGCTTCTGGGAAGAGACCACCTTTTCAAGTTAGAAGTGACCATCTCCTTTGCACCAAACCAGTCAGTCTCCCTCTCATTTAACCCTGCACTTTCAACTTTGACTGTTCCTGAGAGGAAGATAATGCCTGCATTAGCCTGAGACAGATGACCAAAATCCTGAAGTTCTGAAAATTCTTTCTAGAGGTATACACTCAAGACCTGCTTCTGGGCCTGGTCATTAACCATGCCACCTCACCACAACCCCCACTGCTGTCAGATGTCATGAGAAGCAAAAATAGGCATCTAGTCTCACAGTAGCCTGGCAGACTGTTAATCACCTCGGGCAAGATCTCTGTGCCATCAACAATGCAGTCATCACTTTGCATTCTGTAGTTCCCAACCCATACGCCCTTTCTGGCCTGCTCCTCAATACACAAGGTTTAGGAACTCTCCCGCTATTTTCAGGGAGCCCCTAACAACAGATTTGGCTCTGTTTCTCTGTTCCTTCCAGCTCCATCACAGTCCCCTGAGGAAAAAAAATGAAGCTTTGAAACTGTAAAATGTCTATAGACTATTAAACCGCTAAAATACACCTCTCCTCCCTGTAAGGCTAGTTCGAGATCTCCGGGCTGCCAATGCCACCACGATTGCCCCCTATATACACTGCCTCAGTCTTCTGCCATCCACAGCTTGCTGGTATACCTCCCTGGACCCAAAGAATGTCTTCTGCCTTTGCTTGGCTCCTGTGAGCCAGCCTCACTTTGCTTTTAAATGTAAAGACTCCAGTTTTGGATTCAAAGGTCAACTGACCTGGACCCAACTTCCTAGAGGTTCTGACGGCTGACCTCACTAGTTTTCCAGCATAAACTATCATTGCACTTCTGAGTAATGAGCCAAACTGCCTGCTGGGAAGACACAGAAGTTTTGCTACAGTATCTGGCAGAAAGAATCTGGATCCTTAAGTTCACAAAAACAATGATGCTTACTCAGACTGTCAGCTCCTGGGAGCGCACAGTGGACTACCTGTACAAATATTTGGATCCAGTTTTTAATCGCTATCTCTCCTCTTTGCCTTCATGCTCTAAAAGCCACTGTCCTTTTAATCAGGAAAGCTGACAAGCTCACCTTAGACCAAGACCTAATTGTCCAGGGGCCACATGCTGTACTAGAACACCTGAATGACTATGACCACTCAGTCTTGCCATGTATCTGCCCATCAAGTTGGGCCCAACAGACTATGACCTAAAAAATGGACCCTTTGACAGACGCAGAGTACACTCTGTTTATGGACAGAAGCAGATCTGTTAGGACAGGCTACATATGTTGTACTCACCTTGGACAAAGTTATTTTGGCCAAAGCTCTTGTGCTACTGCTTCCTGTCGCTGTTTGGAAACTTCTCACCAGTGACACCAAACTTGCAACCCTACACCCCCTCCAAAGATTTGACTGACTGAAACACCAAGCCCAGCGTTCAAAACTGCTACTCCCAGAGGATCAGAGCCAGACCTGCCCCGACCATTTGTTCTGCAAGCTGAAGCTGTAGCACTGGTACCTGTACTCTGCAGCCAGCTCAGGCTCCATCATCTGTGTCACTGGCTCTGACCTAATGCAATATAGTGGACATTCCCCACTTAAAGATATATAGATAGATTACACAGAAATAAAACATAACCCTACGGTTAAAGCTTGTACCCAGTTAAAAGGTCAGCTATACCTCTAGGAACTCCTATATACACATATTAACTATCTCTGCAAGTTTCAGAAATCCAGCTTTAGGCCCAACATTCCAGAGTCGGAAGAGTCCATCCAGACGATTGCTAATAATTTACCTGGACAGCTCCTCCAGGGCTCACTGAAGTGATGGTGCGCTCAAAGGCCTGTCCTGGTCACTCTGGACACTAACCAGTTCATGCATGGCTGAAGCCTGAGGACAGCATTCAGGGGGAGGACAGGATTGCTCCACACCTATTTCCCCTTGATTTTTGTGCCTTTTGGGGCTGCTGACCCTAGTTCTTGCTTTCCTGCCCCTCCCCAGCTCCAGGTTTTGTCTTAAATGCTATGGATGGTCACCCCAAAAGAATGGCACAATCAAGCACTTGATCAAGGTTTGATGAGCATCCAAGGCACAGTGGACACTCTCCTAGATTAGATTAACTTACTCACTACCTTGCAGAGCAATGTTACAGAACAGACAGGCTTCAATTATGTCTCTTCCTAAAGACAACTTAGGGAAAACTGTAATAAGACAATCTAGGGGACCTCGGCTAGGGCCCACCTTAGGATCACTGACAACCCTAATGTTAACACTTCTGGTTGGGTCTTGTCTCAGAAGATCACGTGTAATATGCCCAGCAAAGATAGCAGAAAATGCCAGCCCCTCCCCAGTACCTCTCAGTTTGTAGCTGCCCAGGTAATAGCTCCAGTTCTAGCTCCTGTTACTTTTGTTCCTTTGAAATGACTGGTCACTGGGATGCATGTTGTAAGAGCCAATCCCTGATTGACAAGCCATTCTGCCTCTGTGCTTCCTGCTTGCTTATCCCACATAAACCCTAGACCACCAGAGATCAGTGCCTGATACTTTGGGAGTGATTCCACTCAGTGCCCATCGACATAAAACAAATCTGCCTCCAAATCCTGAGTGTCATTTCGGTGTTTCTGCTTGCAGTCACTGCTCTGATTTGAACATCATTTCCAAAACTCACTTTGAAATTTAATCGCCATTGCGGCGGTACTAAGAGGTGGAACCCTGAAGAGGTGACCAAGTCATGGGAACACAGGGCTCATGAATGAATTAAGCCTGCTATTTGTTGAGTGTGGGTGGTTAGACAGGGGTGAGGGGGTGTGTGAGGTGGTGGGCTGTCCGCTCCATTTCCTCCCTTTCTCTTGGTTGTACCCTGTCCATGTGATGACACAAGAAGGTCCTCATCGGATGCAGCCCCAGATCTTGCGTTTGTCTGCCAAATAAAACACTGTCGTTTTAATTTACCTAGCTTGTGGTCTTCTGTGATAGCAGCAGGAGACAGAACAAAGCTGGCATATTTTTACGGAGCTACCCAGTTCCTACTCCCCTGTTCTCTATGAAGTCTCATTAAAATCTAAACCTCCAGATCACCCAAATCAATTCCTGCTGAGGGCTCTGAAGAACCACTGCATGTGCTTACAGCAGGGTTTTCCATAACAGACTTCTCAGGTTTTCCTGTCCACAGTATTTCTGGGAGTTGCCACCTTTTTCTTGCTTAGGTGATGGGCTAACGAGTTAGTCAAGTATGTAAGTCTTCTCCTTTACAGAGTTTGTCTTTAGAGAGGTACCTAGAAAGGCTTGGCCCAAACCAAGATTATTACTCATGCTTATTTTTATGGTTTTCTTTATGTTTAGTATTTAAGTCACTTAGAATATGGTAAATCTAAGAAATTCAAAACTTTACATATTGGCAGTAAAGCTATCCAAACAGAACAAAATATAGCTATAATCTAACTCTATCAATCACTTTTTATGACAGTGAGTTCTAGGTTTATGTAACTGCTATTTACCCACAACTTTGTAGCCCAGCGCTCTTTACCATGCCTGACTGCTGCTCAGGCCAGCCCAGCACTCATGCTCTGATAAATTCGAACCCCACATAACCACATCAAAGACCACCCAGTACCCTGCAGCACCAGGAGACTTCTGCACACTGAGATGTACCAGCCCCTTAGTTTGCATAGAGAAGAAGGAAAGGAGTCACAGCCAATGGTCTGTCTACTAGTAAAAAACATGAATACAACCTGCAAAGAACTACCAAGTCCTGGGTTTGGAGAGTAACAGGAGAAATGCTCAAACCCACACCCGGTTAGACCTACCTGCCTCTGGGGCCACCTGAGGCAGCTTCCTGAATGGCCAGAGGCCTCCCTGCCAACTTCACTGGTGATCCAAGGAGCTCCTTCCCTAGGCCTGAGGGTTCAGTCCTGTTCTGAACTTCCCTGGAGAGGGGCTGGTGCAGTTTACCAGGATGGAGCCAGTATGGCCAGGACCTGGGCAACAGGAGACAGTGGCTGCCCACCCCAATCTGCCCCACTAAGTCACTCCTCCTGTCTCTGGGCCTTAGTTTCCCAATCTGCATAGTAAGGAGATAGGATTTGACACGGTCTCAAGTTAAAAAAAAAAAAAGAATTAGAACCCAAGCATTCTGACTCCCAGGGTCAGTGTCTTTAACAGCAACAATAACGCCACGGTTGTGCTTACTGCTTTATCAAAGTCTAAACCAGGCACTTTACACATTATCCTATTCAGTTCTCATTAGCTTCCTGTAAAGTTCATATTGTCGCACTAATTTTATATTTATTAAATTCAACAAATACTTACTGTGCCAGCTGTAGAAACTAAGTAATTTACTTGAGTTCTTATAGTAAAAGCTGGCTCAGAATTCAAATCTGGCTGTGCCTGATTCACATATTCACTCTGTCCATCTGTCCATCCACCTGTCTGTCCATTTTCCTCCTCCTCCCACTCTCTATCCAAGCATCCATGCATCCTTCGCCCTACCCAGCCACAGGAATACTCAGCTTTGCAGTCTTGGCCATCTAAGAACTGCCTATCCCTGCAGGCACTCTTTTTCTTCGTCTATGTACTAGAAAATTCCCCATCTCCACACAAACATTTCCACTTACCCCCAACTTACTTTTGCTTTCCCAGCCTCTGGGTATCTCCATAAACCTTTATTATGCCAGCTGATCGACAGCCCCGCATCCCAGGACAACTTATCAGAGAGTTCACAGCAGGCAGTCCTTACCAAGTTTCCAACCTGCAGCATTTCCTCGAACTCGGTTGTCATGTTGTAATGCTCCAGCGCCATGAAGAGCGTGTTGAGCACAATGCACATGGTGATGGTGAGATCGGCGAATGGGTCCATGACCACAAACTTCACTTTCTGCTTGATGGATATCCACAGTGGGCAGCACTCCCAGATCAGGTAGCGCTTGGCAAAGCGGATCCAGCAAGGGGGACACTTGCGGTGAGACTCCTCCAGCTCTGAGGGGACACAGTGAGTAGTTCGCTGGAGTCATGGATAGCTGGCGGGATTCCTGGGGTACAGACAGGAAGGCTACACGACGGCAAGACTGAATTGGGCAGAGAAGGCTAAGGCAACAGGCAGCTTGTATGCTTACTCAGGCAATGGAGGAGAAGAGGGCCAGAGGGGCAGGGAAGCAGGAGGAATGCTCGGAAAACTGGGGCACAAGATAGATTAGGAAAATGCAGACTCAGTTCCATGCAGACGTGGGGCTACTTGGTGGGGAAGACACAATCATGGGAGGGAAAGTTCACCTATGAGAACACCCAGAACAGAGCAGGAAGGAATACACGAGGACGTGTGGGACACAGGGAGACAGGAGGGTGGGGTGTGCCCAGACAGCTGCATATCTTGTGTACCCCTGGGACAGGAGGGAACAAGATGGGGGTGCCCAGTGTGGGCTACCTAAAGTGGGACAGGCTGGGAGGGGTATGAGATGCCTGGGGATAGGACAAGGCAGGCAGGAATGCTTGGGGTGGAGGGTCCAGGCAGACACGGGTATACTGGGGAGAGCAGGGGTGAGGTGCGGAAGAGCCTGAGGTGGGCCAGGGAACATGTGGAGGTGCTGGGGGAAACAGATGCAGGAATGCCCAGGAAAATACCAGCTGAACCCGATGGAAAGATCTCCAAGGACAGCAGAGGCTAGAGCAGTGATATCCATGGTAGTCAAGGCACAAACAGAACGCCCCTGTGGGTTGGACGTGGCGTGCCTAGAGCATGGGAGGGGAGTGTTGGAGAGCAGAGGCACTGACCTTCCAGCACGCTGGTGAGGACACTGACGGCGCTGAGTGCCCGCTGCCGTGCTCCCGGCTCCTCAAAGCCATCTGCACATGGAGCCTGGGGGGTCAGCATCTGGGGCCCACCTGGCTCCTCCGAAGGCGTGGTCTAGGTGCAACCAGGAGATATGCATCAGCCTGGTCCTGCTGGGCCCGGGGTGGCCACCCAGGCTCGGATGGGAAGGTCACAGGGGGCCGGGGGGGTCTCGATGGGACACTGGAAGCTGGGCTGAGAGAAGCTAGCCCAAGTCTCTCCCCCATAACAGCCCCCGTCCCTTCTGCTAATCGTCACCACCTTCAGTTTTCTCTTCCTTGTCACCCCGCCTCACTGGCGGTGACTCTTGTGTGTGGCCAGGAAAGTACCTACATCACACAGACTCTTTGTGCTCAGGTGTTGTAGTATATATCAGTACGTGCATAAATGACCCTGGAGTACACACACACACACACACACACACACACACACACAAAGAAGCTGAGAAAAAAAAATCTCACATGCTCTAAGATGACACTAACAGAAGCATAACGCACCACATTTAGATGTGGCTGGGGGAAGGCCATGACTTTCGTGGAAGTGGTTTGGCTGTATCTACCAAGAAAATTTTAAATTGGCCCTGTAATTCCTAGTCTAGAATCTACTTCATAAATAATTATACACAGGCACCAAAAATATACTTAAATGAGCACTGTTCCTAATACCATCAAAACAAAACCAGCAATCAATAGGAAGAATATTAAAATCAATTATAGATTCAACTTGACTCTGCACTGATACAGCCAATAATGAGCACGGCGTGGGTTCACGTGTGCTCCCATGGGACCATCTCAAGACAAACAGATGGAGATGCAAGACCAAGATCTGGGAGATAAATACTGAATTGTTAATGTAGATACATCTAGGGGCCTGGGGTTGGGGAGAGGGAAAAGTGGACAGAGGTCCCCTGTTCACTTACATACTTGTACACGGTGGGTTTGTTCCCAGGGTGCTCCTATCATTTTTGTAAATACCAGGACTCTCTGCAAAGCAGAGATGTGGCTTGGAGGGACACAAAGGCAGTGGCAGCAGGCCTACGTGGCCACGGCCCACATGGCTGAGCAGGATGCAGGACATTCAGTGTGCAGTGGTTTGTGCTGTGGTCTGGGTCTGAAACGCCCCCCAAGGGCCTCATGCTAAGGGTTGGTCACCAACATGTCGTGCATTTGGAAGGCACTGCAGCCTTTAGGAGGTAGGCCTGGCTGAGGGAGTAGGTCACTGGGGCCGTGTCCTGAAGCATACACCAGGACCCCTCAGCCCTTCTCTCTCTCTCTACAGCAGGCTGAGCAGTACTTCCTTTCTTTCTTCCTTTTTTTCTGCTATGGGTGGAGGAGCGTTCCCTGCATCATGACAGCAGACTTGCTCTGGCCAAGGGAATGGAAGTGGGCAAGATGCACAGATGCCTGACACATGTGAGTGCTACCTGCCTTGCCTGTGTGCACTAGGAACCCTCTGTGGAAAGATCTTCCTTTCAACCGGGCCTCAGAACAAACCCAAGTGGAGCAGCCCTGGCCTAACCCACAGTGTAGTGCAGGCCCAGCCACAGGCAGCCTGCAGCAGAGCTGCCCAGCTGAGGCCAGCCTTGATCTGCCAATCAGACATCCTGCAGATAAGGAGCATATGAACTAAGGCTTACAGTTAGCCACTGACTCGTGTGATGGTTTGTTACATAGCATTGCTGTGGCAATAACTGACTGATGCACCATCCTAATGCAAACCATCATCTCTTTCCTAAACCACTGCAACCGCCTCCTAACTGGCCCCTTCTTGTCTCTGTATTCTCTACATAGCAGGAAGGAATTTCCTTAAAAAGCAAATAAGATAATGTCACTTTTTATTCACCATCTCTTCTTCCTCGCTGCTCCCCAATTTACTCAAAGTACATCCCAAGTTTTCTGTACCCACAGGGTTTACCTAGTACAAGCACGGCTCTCCAAACTCTGTTCCTGCTTCTCCCTTCTGTACCACTTCAGCCCTGAGCCGAGGCCGGTCCGCAGGCCCTCTCACCCCATTCCCCCTCTGTCCAGAACACTGTTCCGCCATGTATGTGTGGCTGGCTCCCTAAAATCGCCAGTCTATTTTATCATCTTTTGGGAAGGCCTTTCCTGAGCGTGCTGACAGCCCTCACCCTCAGTCCTCCCCAGCATGACCCTGCTGTGACTTGAACGTATTTATCAGTCCACTGCCTGTCTCCATGACTCCCATGCAAACTCCACGCAGGCGGGGCCTGGCCTGTTGTGCTCACTGCTGTCTGTAGCTCAGGTCAGAGGACCAGCGCTGTCCCTAGCATGTTAGACAAGCAGGGGGCAGGAAGAGAAAGTCTTTCGTGCAGAGGGAGGAAGACAATGGCTGTTCAGGGTGTTTCCCTGACTTCTACCTGGCCCTCTGGGCGTGGCACTGTGTGAAGCTGGGGGACAAAGGACCTCTGCAGCCATTCTCCCTAAAGTGGACACTTTGCAGGTGGACTTGCTGCTCATCTAGCCCTTCCTGCCCTGTGGGGGGACCAGGTACCCTCTGTGAGCTGTCGGGGACACTGCTGCTGGCTCTCATGGAGGTGGGCAAGTCCTTCCCAGGGCCTACAGCCTGCTAATTTCCCTGACTTTTCAAATGTCTCCATCGTGGTTGATAATTCCTTTGACTTTGCAAATGACCCGGTCTTGGCCTGCTAATCCCTGTAAGGTTATGAATGGACCCCACAGAAGTGAGAAGAGCTGAAGTCAGAGTCCCGGCTAATGAAGTGTGTGGACTTGCATGTCTCTCGCCATGTGCAGCTCAATCAGATGAGTTCCTGCCTAATGAGATTAGGAAATTCTATTAGCGCTCCTGGCTGCTGACCTGCTCCCCAGGCAGCAGCTCCAGAGCAGACCCACTTGGCTCAGTATTCCTGGAAGCCAGACAGCCACCCTGCAGGTGACACATGTGCCCTCCACAGCGACAGCGTGAGGTTCTCCCTTCTTGCCCTGCCCTGGAGGATGAGACGGCAACTGACAGCCTGCAACACGCTGGTAACTGCAAATCTGTCCTCAGTAACACCAACGGTAGCTCAGAACTTGAACACGAGGTATATCCTGACCTAGCATCCGACTGTCTTAACTCACCTGGTCCTTCTCACTACCTGCTGATACATCACTTCTCTTCCACTTTATAGATGAGGAAACTGAGGCCCAAGGAGGTCAGGTAAGCTTTACAGAGCCCCATAGCTACAGGGAGCTGGTGGGGGCACCGAGGCTGTGTGCAGGCTCTGCCAGCCTAACCAAGCCTCCCACCCTCGTGTGCAGCTCCTCCTGGGGGCGCTGTTCTGCCACTGTTCTCTGCGGGGTGTCGTTGGTCTGCACCGGTCTACTGAAGGATTAAAGCTCTGGTTGACCTTGTGGGGCTGAGGCAGTCCCACGCTAGGGCTTTTCTGATAGGACCTCTTTCCCCTGCACTCTCTGTATCAGCCACACTGACCTCATGGCTCAGAAATCCAGGCCATGCTGGGCATGGTGGCACAAGCCTAGAATCCCAGCATTCAGGAGGCTGAGGCAGGGCAACTGAGAGCGTGAGGCCAGCCTGGGCTGTCATAGTGAGGCCCTGTCTCAAAATATCAAACCGAACCGAACCAAACTGAACTAAGCCCGAAGCTAGCATGCTTCTGCTTTTGCACCTGCTGTTCTCTATGCCTGGAGTGAGCTCCCTGACAGACAGTGATGGCTGTCCCTAGGCTGTTTTAACAGCCCTGACATATAATGTACATCAGCAGTACCTCACCCAGGGAGGTCGGCCACCCGTGGCATAGTCCCTTCGTTTCAGAAAGCAGCCCGGCTCCTATGTACCCTCCATCTTTATTCGTGTTTCTGTAATGAGTGGCGATTCCTTCTCCTTTTCTTGGTCCCTCTCCAATGGCACTTACTACCTGGGCGGACACTGAGTCTCGGTGGGTGAAGAGTGGGGCTGCTTCTAAGTTGATGAGTAGTTGTTCTGAGTCCTTCACATCCCCTCGCTGCCCTGGCACCTTCTGCCAGGCCCCCTGGGCTGCTGCCCAGAAACCTGCATAGCACAGGGACTTGGGGACACTAGCTGTTGTTTCCATGGTGCCTCGGGACCTGGGCCTCTGCAGCCAGGAACCTGTAGCCACCACCCTGTTTATGCCCAGCACACACCTCATACACCTTTCCATGCACATGTGTTTTTGCTGCTTTCTGTCTCTCCGCTCCATTAGCAGGGAAGCACCAGGAGGCTGAGGTTGGCGGTGCAGCACACAATAGGTGCTCAATTATCTGGCGAGTATTTCCAGTCCTAGCACTGACCACAAGGTAGGGAGTCCAGATCTGCCCTGGTACCTGCACTGTGGGGCTGGCTCACCGTGTCTGGGGGGCGCTCCAACATCATGGGGCGGAGGAGGCGGCTCCCTGGGGACATGGCCTCAGTGTCGCCGGCCCCCAGCAAGGAGACTACCCCGTTGCAGTCCACAGTGCTGTTTCTTTTGCTGTTGAAGACATGGCTAGGAGCGGAGGCCACAGGACTGGGCTGTCCTTGGGCACTAGGCCGGTGCAGGGGCCAGGGCACCAGTAGTGATGTGCGGTGGCTCTCACTGTCCCCTGCTGTGCTGTTCTCATCATCTGCAAAGTCAGTCTCTGAGCCCAGGTCTCGACGGCGAAAGGTAAAAATGCTCCCCCGGCTGGAGCGTGGCTTCACCGAAGTCCTGCTGAGGCTGCGGTGATTCTGCGGGCACAGGGAGGGGTGGCATGATCAAGTGCATTCGGGCCCAGCTCAGCCTCTTGGAGCACCGTGGGCTTCTCTGCCAGTCATGCAGGAACCAAGTGGGCAGAGCCAGCGGTGTCTGGGGAGGGGGTCCTCCATCTTCTCAAATCTCAAAGCCTCTGGGCTTTGGCCCTTAAGTTATCTGGGCCCTGAGGCTGGGCTGGGGAGGGGAAGACAACAGCCCCTGATATCATAGACAGGTTTGGCCTAAGCAGAGCCTGGCGTACGCAGTCAGTCCCTGGACTCAATGGGCATGTCACTGGGGTCCTGGGATGTCTGGGCTAGCTCAGGTTGGGCATGTCATGACGCCCAAACTTGGGAACAGGAGGCCTGCAAGGGGCTCAAGGATGCCTGTATCTGGGAGCAAACTTTGGGCTCTGACTGTACCAGGGGCCTGGCACTATGGGCTGTGTATGCCAGCCCACCCTGAGAAAGCCAAGACACGCCTGGGGATTACCATTGCCCTGGGACCATCTTCCGAGTCGGACTTGGGAAACCGTTCATCTCCACACTCCTCTGTTCCTGAAGACATTCGTTTTCTCCTCTTGCTCCTTCTCTCGTGGTTGGTTACTGGGGCCAGAGGGGACATCTCCAGGGAGCTGCGGGACACCGTATCCACACCCCTGATGGTGAGGGCCTGGAAAACGGTGCAGGAAGAGACGTCCAGTCATAGAGAGATTAGGCAAGCCAGGTCACTCCCGGTGGTCTGGTTTACCCATCGGTAAGTGGACTTGCACATAACCCAAAACAAGGGCATTATGAAGATATTCTTAGAATCCTGTTTTGCAAAAGATCAAGATTAGTGGGGCAGGGGGAGCGGCTAAGATGGGCAGGCTTTGCAAGAGAGGAGTGTGTGACAGACACGGTGTTGATGAGCAGGGGAAGCAGCAGCACTAACAGCTCGGCTGGGTAGAAGGTACCGGGGCAGGTGGCGTGGAGCGGTGATAAGAACCAACAGATGCCTACAGTCCAACTTCTAATTTCGAGCTCTGTAATAGCCTCCCGTTCCCACCGTGCCAGCGGCTGTGGGTGGCCAGGGCAGCTCTGCCAGCATCTCTTCCGTGAGCTGGCTCTGGTCTCTAACTACCGTGCCAGAAGGGATTCCTTGACCAAGATAAACTATCCATGGACACATGGTGTCTCTTATCTTGCATATGCTCACAAGGACAACCTTCACCCAGGAATTATCACCTTCAGCCAGCATGTGACATTTTTACCCGCCTGGCATCATTCTCTCCTGGAAGACATGAGGTCTGCAGGCAACAGCTTTACTGGGAGTACACCACAGTCAGGGGCTCACCTGAGCTCAGCTTACCCTTACTTTTACCAACAGGGACCTTAATGACAGGCACCATCTTTAGCCAGCAGGTTCTAAATTTTTACCCAGCAGACGTGATATTCATAGAAAACACCTTTATCAAAGGACAGCATCTTTACCCAGCATGCACCATTCACTGGCTTTACCCAAAGTGCACCACACCCCTATGCAGCCCGGTCAGATGAGAAGACTGGCTTGACGGCTGCTTGTCTGTGCTGTTCACCTACCTCATGCTCTTTCTTGAGCATCTCCATAGCTTCCTGGAAGCGCTTCTCCTTCTCCTCAGTCTCTGCAATTGTGGCTTGGTTTTGTTCCTCATAGGCCATGGCGACCACAGCCAGGATCAGGTTGACCAGGTAGAAGGAGCCCAGGAAAATGACGAGCATGAAAAATATCATGTAGATCTTCCCTGCGGACCTCAGAGTCTGGAGGAGCAAGCAGGCACAGGTCAGCTTCCCTGGGTTCCTACGGGCTATAGCATTTCCAAGTCACCAGTGTGGCCATGCCAGAGCCAAGGCCTGGCCGGGGGTGCAGAACAGTGGGTATGGCTCATAGAGAGAGGGCTGTAACCTATGGAGGACAATGGTCCACATGCAGGGCATGGTGTCCCACCTCGAAGGAGGCAGATGTCCCACTGAGGGGAGCACGTGCTGCCCACAGTGGAGCATACTGTATCCTGTGGAGGGAGGAGCGTCCTGCTCACAGAACAGAGACCTTCCTGTATGAAAGGGTGGGTTCGTCCCTGCCATAGCTCCCCCCCCCCGGGGGGGTGCTGGGGCTACTTCTGACAAGTCACCGTGCCTGGCACCCCTCTGCTGGCCTGGGCACCCACACACCTGCTGGTAGAGGCGCTCCCAGCAGTCCTGTGTCATCAGGCGGAAGAGCGCCAGGAAGGCCCAGGCAAAGGAATCGAAGCTGGTGTAGCCGTGGTCAGGGTTGTCGCCCGCCTTTAGGCACCGGTAGCCCTCAGGACACGTCCTGTGGGCAGACACTCATGCTCCAACCCATGCTGTGAGGCTGGAGTGGGACCCCGCTGAGCCTGGCTTTTTCTCCCTGGGCAGCGCTGGCACAGGCCCGATGGCTGGCCCTTCCTCCAGGATGGAGAGTGTCTTCTGCGCTACCCCCGAGACACTATCTTCCTTTCTCTCCCTATTTGGAGCTCCAAGGCTTGTACCCTGCTCCTTCCAGAACACACTCAGCTGCTGCCTGGGTCATTTCACCCCACAAGAGGAAGTGCCCAGGCCCGGCCCAGGCTCCTTCCTCTGCCTGTGCACCCATGGGGAGCTGTGGGGATGTAGGTGGAGGGCAATCCTGTCGGGACAGGCTGGGCTTGGTGGCATCTGGAAGAGTGCCCATCTGACACCCCCACAGAAAGCTGTGTGTCGGAGAGGCAGAGCTGCTGCTTGTGGAACTGGAGGTGTGTGTGCGGGGGTGCCTGACAAGTCGAGGATGTGGCCGAGGGGCCTCTGTCCCTTCCGATGCTCTAAGAACCTCCAGTCAACCTCTTAAGCGATGGGCTCTGAAACTTCATCCCCAGACCTGTGAAAATAGAGCTCTGCTCCACCTTTCACCCTTGAGTGAGCCCTCACCCCTCTGCTCCACAGCCCACAGTGCCATCACCCTGCACAGAGCTCCGGAAAGCACACGTGGAGATCAGGCAGGCTGCAGGTCCTATTCTGCTGGTCTTGAGAAGAGTCTAGCTGTTGGCATAGGGGCAAAAGGCTGGTGTGGAAGGGTGCAGCCCTGGGAGATGCCAGCACACATGGGCCTGTCCCAGCCTCTCTTGGGGATCTCCTGGCCCTTCCTGTCAGTCCATCTCTGACAAACCACTGTGTCTGCTGTGGGTTGAGGGAGCTTCCAGGGTGCCAGCAGGGAGAAAGACAGGGAGTGGGGTGGTCCTCAGTGTCCCCGGGGCTGGCCATAAAGAGAAAGTACAGTCAGCTGAGAAAGCATCGGGGAAGGCTGGCAGCAGTGCCCCTGGTGGTAGGTGCCACCTACCCGGCATCCGAGCTGTTCCCGCACAGCAGCACGTCAGAGGTGCCGTTCTTGAGCAGGTAATTAACTGCAAGAGAAACAGAGGATTCTTCTGAGACGTGCATGCGCCCCTCGGGGGTTCCCAGCCCACATCCAGGGCTTTGGTGAGGACAGGCTTTGTGGGTGGCTGCTCTCCTCTTCGGCCCCTGCCCTAACCCCCACCTTCTGCTTGGGCAGGTCCTGGCCACTCTGGCTGCTTCCCTGGGCTTCATCTACTCCTCCACAGCCACGCTGCTGCCTGTGTCCCTCATGTTCTCAGAACGCCCAGGAAGCCCTCAGCTGTTCCCACAGGAAGCTTTCACACCCTGCCCTGAGCCACTCAGGAGGGTGAGCCAAGGCCAAGAGAAAAGTCCAGCCAGGAGGCAAGGGTCTGGGCAGAGTGCTGGCTCAGCTGCTGAGTCACTGCATGGCCTTGGCGGCCTCCTGCCCAGCTCCAGACTCACTTCTATTACACAGAACGATACAGGAGACGCCTGCCACAATCACCATGGCAACACTGCTCTGTTCAGATGGGGCCAGGGCTGGACCGGGGGTACCTGCTCTGTCCTTTCCTCTCTGGGGTTGCTGCCAGTCTTGTCACTCACCATCACCTGCCTTTGTCTTAGCAGTAGTTCTCAAACTGTGGCCCTTCAATGGGCAGCGGCAGCAGCAGCAGCAGCAGTGACAGTTAGAAATACAGCTTCCTGAGGGACAGTTAGACCAACAGACACAGGAACTAGGCTTGGCCTTAGCAGTCTGTCTCAGAGCCCTCCAGGTGGCTTTGGAGCCACTGCTACAAGCCACAGTGGGATCACAAGTTCATTCAGTGATCTTCTGCCTGCCTGTTTTTCAGAGCAGAGTACAAGCGTACAAGAGAGGCCTGACTTCGGAATGGTCCTCTGGGGTCTTGGGGCCAGGCCCTCAGCCTTGCCCCCGTGTCTACCTTCGATCTAGGTGAATGGTGCTAATCACGAGAGGTGCCGGGCACCAGCCGGAGGAATGGAGGTGTGGGCCGTGCAGTGACAGGCGGGCCCACATGCTGTACATGCTGGTGTGTCCAGCCTTCTCACAGGACTCTGGGGCACACATCTATGGAACTAGCATCCTGGCAAGAGCGCTGACGTCAACCAGGAAACCACCATGCCAAGCGGGGGGCTCCATTCTGCAGCCTCCCCAGAGACCCCAGGGCCATGTCACACCATCTCCCTGAGCAGATGCTCCTCTATGGTGGCCTGGTTTCACTTCTGGCTGGTTCTGCCTCTGAACGCTGCCCGGCCATCCTTCCTGTCCTCCAAACGTGGCATCTCTACCTGGCCCCAAGGCCCACTCTACTCAGACACCTGACACACAGATGTGGACTGAATAGGGGCAGCCCGGGGGGCCAGTCCAGCCCTGATGGTCTCACAGAGCCCTCCCCAGCTACAACTGAGTCGGCACCTGGGTCTCTGAGGTAGAGGTCCAGTGACTTCCAGACCAGGCCCTCAGCCTCCACGGAGCCATTGGTGTCATTGAGCGCTGTGAAGTTGCGCACGCATTTGTGCCTCAGGTTACCCATGAAGAGCTGCAGGCCGATGAGCGCAAAGACACTGAGGCAGAAGACAGTGAGGACCATCACGTCAGCCAGCTTCTTCACAGACTGGATCAGGGCCCCCACGATGGTCTTCAGGCCTGGCAAAGGCAAGATCGGGCATGGGGTCACCCATGGGCTCCCAGGTACACGCTCCCATGGTCACCTAAGGTCACCACTGGGTCGCCCTGGGGTCCTGCGCTGAGCTGGGTGCAACCTCAAGGGCAACCACGAGACAGGGCTGCAGAGATGGAGGCTTCTTTGGCCGTCCAGTCCTCTTTCCTCAGCTGATGAGCTTGTCCTGATGCCCTACGGAGAAGTCCAGCCTGGCTGTGCATTTCTGAAGGGTCTGGTTCTCTTTACCTACCACCAGCCAAATACAGAACGGGTATAGAAAGTGCTGTTTTCTTGAGGAAATGCTCAAAGATGTTCCCATCGGGCTGGTCTCGGCTTTCTAATGTAGCCTATGGGAAAGGAGAGCTAGGCTCAGGCCCACTCCAGGTCGGTGTAGGGGCTTCAGACGTGATTCTGCCGTGGGCAGTGATCAGCTCTTCCTGGCAGCAGGCCCTCCTAGAGGGAACTGAGGGGCCCAGGGTCTAGGTTTGGGCTGGGGCTGTGTGCTGGTGACCCGAGGGGGCAGTGGCAGAGCTGAGGTGGCTGATGTCTTAAGAGCCTGCTCTAGCTTGGGCCTGGGGCGGGGAAGGTGTTGACCTGCACTGCTTCTCCCATATTCGCTCTGTCCTCCCATTCTCCAAAGCTGAGGCTGTGAGCAGTTAGTTGTGTAGCCCAGCTCCCTGCAGAAGCCAGCACCCCACAGCAAGGTGACAAAAAGCACATGTGGACACATCCAGTGTGACTCTTAGCTGCTGGCCGAGGACAAGTGCGAGCACAGCATCCAATCAGCAGGAAGGAGGGGCTCCTCTGCCAGAAGCCGGCTTCACCCCATCTCCCAAGCGGCCAGATCTGATTACACTCTGTCCATCATTGTCCAGCCAGTTAATGTGTTAGGAGCACCTGTGGCTACTGTGCTGACAGTGCAGAAACCAGAGGCCAGCGATGGGCAGAGCCGGGACCAGGAGCAGACAGGCTCCTTGCCACGTCACGACCACCACTGCTGCCCAGGGCTCAGACACTCAGCACTTGTGGAAATCGTCCTGGCATATGTTGGCAACTGCTGGGGTCCTGGGAGAGCCTGCCAGGTGTTTGGGAACAGAGGAGTGGTTGGTCACAGGGTGATTTACTGTAGTGCAGAACCTCTGGGGCCCCCGAAGTACACGTCAGGGTTGCTTCCCAGCCTATTTCTTATGAGGCACAGAATATGCCTTTTCGTAACTTGTGATCAGTGTGTCCATCTCCTGGGGTGGAGGGTGCCTGAGAGCCTGTCCCTGGGACTCTGGAGGACACACTGTGAGGCTTCTGGATAAGGCCAGTTGACACCTGTGCAAGGGCAATAGCTTCAGGGAGCGGCTGAAGGCTGACTATCCTCTGGCCCTCTCGGCAGGGGTCTGGGCCACTCGTGAGGGGATCTGGGGAGAAGTGACCTCTGTGCAAGAACTGTGGTGGGTTCAGAGGCCAGGAGGCTCACTCTGAGGCTGAGTCTGGGGGCTCTACTTAGAAAAGAATTAACCTAATCATGAAAAGGTTGTATTTCTCGTGGAAGCTCAGAGCAGGATTTGTGATTCCCCAAAAGTGGTGACAGCCAAGTGCAGAGCATAGTCTTGGCTTCCCAAATCAGGAGCAGATGAATCATTTGGTTCTGCAAACCTTCCTCTGGCCCTGACACCTCTCTAAAACCTGTCTCTAGCCCCCTTATTAACTGAAGTGTGGCTAGTTTCTAGAAGGAGCCTGTGGGCACTATCCCTCCAGAGCAAGTTCCTCAGAATAGGGGACCTTGAGCTTTGGATCACTTTAGTCTGGGGAGACTGACTGAAGCTGTGTGGAAAGTGTGCTGGTGGCTCTCGGCTTCAGGCTCAGCACCTCATACACAGGGCTCTGAGGTCTTCGTGAGTCTTTCGAGAGTTTCCTGGATAGATGAGTGGAGTGCAGCCACATGGACTCAGAAGACTGCACAGGTGCAGCTGCCAACATCTGTCAAGGAGGATTTCTGCCTGAATCTACCATGCACAGTTCGCTAAACCTCTACCGCACCATGCAGCGAGGGCTGTTAGACGCCAAGGCCCAATGATGCCTGTCCACAGAGCACACTCCATTCTGAAGAAGGAGACTGAATTTCCATAGTACCCACCTCACCCACGGGACACAGGCTGGCATGGGGCACTCAGTCATTAAAGACTGTGCTGGAGTTTTGGTTTTTTTGAATCTGAATGTGTGGGATGCCCTCAACTATGGTCTTTTTAACTTTCTTGACCAAGGGATGTCACTGCAGGTTAAAGCAATACACGTCCAAACTTAAGTATGCAAGCAGCTGTATTCAGCTGCAAAAGAAATTCACTATTTGGGGGAGAATTTGGGTATAGTGCAGGCCCTTTCACGGGTGCTCTGTGCTCGCTGGTGTCTGAGAGTGGGTGTGGCTGGGTGGGCAGCCCAAGGCACATTCTAAGGATCTGGGCGGCAGAAACACCCACCACTCGAAGCTCTGCAAAAGGTATTCTGGTGACAGGCACATTTAGTGGGCTTCCTGGGGGTCGCCTTGGTTCCCAGGTGGCTGGAAAGGCCCAGGCGTGTCCCTCCAGCCTTGGCGTTTAACCTGGTTTTCACCTGAAATCACTGATATAGTTTTCAGGGCCCGGAGGACTCGGAAGGTGCGTAAGGCTGAGACATTGCCCAGGTCCACAAATTCAGTTGTGTATCTGTAACAAGGGAAATTTACACACGAGACAATGACAAGACGCCAATAAGAGACACAAGGTCGGGGGGAGGGGGGAGACAGAGAGAGAGTCACTTGTAGCTGAGATCTGAGAGGCAAACCTGGACATCTTACCTGGGATAACTGAAATAGTTTTTAGAGCTCTCAGGACTCTGAAAGTTCGAAGAGCCGACAAATTGCCTAGCTTTATATTTTCTGATACATACCTGCAGAATCAAACCACAGTTATTGGGAATTACAAAGCAGAACCTCAGCCTGCCCTCCCCGCCAGCCCTCTCCCTTCTCCCTGACCGCAGTGGGCTGTGGAATGCCTGGAGCCTTCCTGGGGCTTCCTTCCTGATCACGCTCCTGCTGACGTGGGACCTCAGCACGGCCGTCTTAAGGACACTCACACAGCAAACTTCTGGGTGTCTCTTCCTGTGACCATCCCATGAGCAACCAGAGCTAGCAGGCCACTACTCTGCCACCTCCTCCAGGTCTGTGAGACACAAAGCCACGCGACAAGGTCTGAAGCTTGGGACAAATCAGAGCAAAGATGGGGACTCGGTTGAAAGCAAGTTGTTTTGTGGTGCTGGTTTTGCTCTGCCTCTTCTATGGTTCCTTTTCTAGTTGGCCACGTGGGCTCAGGAGATGGCCCAGGTACAGCTGTCAACATCTGTCACGGAGGATTTCTTTCTGAGGCTCCCTGGGGAACCTGAAGCCCTAGCTAAGCCCACCATAATAGCCCATTCATTCCTTCCAATCATAAATCTCTCTGAACAGGAGGGTCAGGAGACCCGGAAGTCACAAGCTGGACGCAGCATGAATAGTCATTGGAAAAAACACACAGTCCTCAAGGTACAAGAATTTGAAGATGGGTAGGAGGGGTCCCTCATATCTGTTCCTCAACTACTTATAGGCACTGCCAACCCGAGGGAAAGGGGCAGATAAGGGTCCTCTGCCCCAGAGCCTACAGACTCGCCCTTGGGTCCTGGTGTCCTCAGGGGACACAGTGACCTCGGAGGTAAGCAGCCCTTTTTAGGGTCTGTCCCACACAAGTCTGAGTCAGGGCTAAGTGGTTGTGGGGCTCCCACCTAGAACCCGGGTGTTCATTCCTCCCGTCTTCACAGGCATAGGAGGCATTGGTCTCTGAGGGCCAGGGACCTGGCCACACAGAGTATGAGGTCACGCAGTAGACAGGCCACATGCCCACAAGGATGTGTGAGAGGTGGATGGATGCTATGTGACCGAGGCCACTGGGGCAGTGGCTAATGACCTGTGATATTTAACTAAAGACCTCGAGTCCATGGTGTCTGACATTTAACTGAAGGTATCCAATGTTAACAAAGAAGACAAACTCAGGATGTCTGCTGCTGAACTGAGGGTGTCTGACTCAGGTGTCCGGGTGACGAAAGGCTGCGAAGTCAGGCCTGAGGAGCCGGGCAAGTGTCAAGAGTAGGCAGACAGGACAGCCACACCCACTTGCCAAGTAGTCTAGACCTCCAGACCCCTCTGCTCTGTTCGGAGCTTCTGCATTTTGATCTGGGCTATCAAGGGACTCAGGATCCCAGGGCGAGCAGGTCTGGTCTGGTCCAGCTGTGACACCAATGATCTCTTCCGTGTGAAGGCCCATCTACTCCCAGGGCCCTGCATGGCCCTGCTCCCTTCCTCCTCACAGCTTACAGGGATGGGCAGAAGGCAGAGACGCCCCAGCTGCACCAGACCCTTTCTGAGCTGTGGTTTTCATCCTACTCCCTGGACTCAATTCAGCTTGCGAAATCACAGTGAGAGGAAGTCATTTACCTCTCTTGTCCTGGCCCGTATGTACCTGTTAATTTGACACAGGCGCCTTCTCGACTTTGAGAGCAACTTCATCTGCCTCGGTAGCTTGAAGCCACAGGCCTCAGCCCTACATTCCTGCCTCGACAGGGAGTTGCCTCGGGGCTGCAAGGGAGAGCTGGGATGCTGCCGTGCTGGGAGCCATGAAGCCAGGGTTCCAGCGCCTCAGAGGACTGGGTCTTTCCCTGGCTGCTGGTCTAGAAGTGTGGCCTGGGACAACACCCTCCCTCAGGACAGTGGATTTAAGCCTGTCTTTTCTGATTGCAGGGACTGAGTGTAGCACCCTGCTGGTCAGAGAAGGAAGCATCTTTGCTTTTCTTCTGCCTCTTACGTATCTGTCTGTCCCCTTGGCCTGTCCTTGCCTGCCCCACCTTCAGGGTTCTCTGCACTTACTACCTGCTTCCTCAGCAGATCATGTGGGCTCAGACAAGCCAGGATCTCCAGGTGACAAAGTTTGGCTAGTGACAGAGTAGGGAGGATTGTGTCTGAGCTCTTGGCAGGCCTGGAGCAGGAGCAAGTGGCTGGGAACAGGGATGGGGCTGGTGCTTGTGTTTGTATGGAGAGCAACTGGAGCTTAGAAGAGCTTCTCAGAGGAAGGCCTGGGGTTGGGTCTGAGACTATCACATCAGGGACAGGTTAGGGTGCTGGCTGTTTCACTCGGCCTAGGACTTGTCATCTGGCTGTGCCTCTGGTCAGGACCGTCACCAACCCAGGGGCTTCTCTTGGTGGCCCTGAATGTGATAGGACAGAAGTGATGCTCTGTATGGCACAGGGCCAGCTCTTCCAAGCCAGCCCAGGCAAGAAGCTGGCCAGAGGAAGGCAGCTGGAGTGGGGCTGGGGACCCTGCCACCGAAGGGGCAGAGCCCAGCAGGTGAGGAGCACATCGCGTCACACTGGCCCAGCACGGGGCAGGGAAGCCTTTCTGGAGGCCAAGGAACCACACAGGAGGCAGGATGCTGGTCATCTTCCTCCTTTACCCTTATCTCTGATGGTGAAGCCCACACTGTTAGCTGCAGCGGTGACTGCCACCCCTCCTCTCGGCCCTTCCTACTTCCCCTCCAGGTTTGGTTTCCATAACAACCCTAGACGGTGGGAGGCTGTGCTAAGTAGCAGGTAATGCCCAGATGAGAGGGGGGCCCCAGGAAGAGCTCTAGGGCTGCAAATTGAGCGTGCAGGCACCAGGGAAGTCCTGCTACAACCTCCAAATCCAAACCTGGCCAGAAATATGGGATTTGGGACGCCTCTCCTATCCAGACCGTGGCTACAAGTTACGTCCCTTGGTTTTAGTTCCAGGATTGCTGCTGATTCATTTTATAATTTTGGCAAGTGGCTGGGACTCTCTGAGCCTCAGTTTCTCCATTTGTATAACGGAGGATAGATGGAGAATTTCACTGAATTGAATTTTTCTGCTATTCAAGACTCTTCTGATCATCCTAGAAGCCCCACATTATTGAGCCCTTTCATTTACAGCACAAGGCATTTTGGAGGCAGTAATTAACTGGCTTTCATAAGGCAGAATCACTGCCAGTTAAAGCGGTAGGGTTGGTCCACCAAACACATGAAAGCTCACATTCCAGAGGTTCACGTAGCCCTGTGGAAAATGATTGTGCTATTTCTGTGAGACAATTGGAAACGTGATGATTATAAGAGCCCCTGAGGTCGTGTTCTGCTTTGTCACGCCTGGCGCAGACACAGAGAGGAGGCAAGCAGAGTTTGGTGAGGAAGGTACACCTGCCTTGTGCTTCTGAGCGGAAGTGGTTCCCTGTGGGATCCTCCCAGAAGACAGAGCTGGAGGATTTGCTAAGGCCTGAGGTCACACAGAGCATCTTCTAGGGGCATGGGCCGAGCCAGACCAAAGCCTGCCTTACGATGATTTCTTTTTCTTACTGCAGTAGCAGGATGGAGAGGCAGGAAAGACTCAGGCAGACGCTGGCCCCTCTCCCGCCGGAGGCCCCTCTGGTTCTGGACCATCCAGCTCTCAGGACCCTGTGGATTATTGCCCTTCCCCAGTTCACAGGACACCCCTGAGCTGAAGCCCCTCCTGGCAACCATACTCTACTGCCAGATCAGTGTAATCTGCAGCCCAGCGTGTCCCCCTCAAACATCAGACAGCTCTCCCATACTGCTGTCACTGATGACCTCGCTTCTCATCTCACAGAGAAAATAGGCGCAATCAGAGGAGAAATTCCTTCTTCTCTTGCCATCAACTCTACCAATCTACTCCCATCTCCATGGGAAATTCTGTCCTCCCTGAACTGAAGATCAGCTCAGTCCTTGGCACTGGGTCCCATGCCCTTGCAAGGCTTGGACTTACTCCTACACCCACCCCCATTCCTGCTTGTCTACGTCACCTTCTCTGTCACACCATTTCCATCAGCCTGCCTTCCAGTCTTCCTTTGATTCATATTTCCTCCTAGCTATTGGGCCATTTTCAGTCCTGTTTTATGAAACCCCATGGATGTGTACACTTCCAAACCCCCTCCAAGCCTCTCTAATGAAGTGTGTATCCTCCTCCTGCCCAATCAACAATCCCTCGTAACTTTGCCTGCCTCAACCTCTTCCTGGTGCATTTTAGGTCGAGTCATTCCCCAGTTGGCTTTCTGGATACTGATCTCCTAGTTTGCACCACTCTGCCTGTGGTTGGCTGGTTCCCCCCAGTCTCCTTTGTTCAGCCCTGCTCTTCTTCCCTCACCTTGAAATGTTGGGGTGTCCTTGGTCATATGTAGTCCTACGTGATGTCACCTGGCCTCCTGGTTCTAGACACCATGTGTGTTCCCACGGCTTCTGGTTGTACTTCCACCTCGGACACCTTTCCTGAACTCCAGACTGGCACGTCCAGTGGCCCTCTCAGTGTCTCACCCTGGACACTTTCAAGCCCAGCACATTCCAAAGCAGACTTTCATTCCCTTCCACCCTTAGCCAGTATCTTTCTCTAGTTCTCTATTTCCTCAAATGCTAACACATCCACTCAGCTGCTACCCGCAAAATACACCTAGATTTGAACCAGGTCTCCCCTTTTCCACTTGGACCCAGGTTCTAGCCACTATCCTCTCCCCTGGCTATCGAAATAGCCTCCTGCAATAGCATGATCTGTTTCTCATCCTCCCACTTTGTGACTTCACCCACTAACCTTCTTTCCCTGTTCACTCAGCTCCGCTGGTCTACATCTACAGACTACACTAGCTTTCGGGAAAGTGCTATTATGTCCCTGTGCCTCAGTTTCCCTGTAAAATGGAAGATGAGTCATCCCACTAACAGCACGCCTAGAACCAGGTTCTGATGCAGTTTCCAACCACCAGGCTAGTCTGCCGGTGCCACTGGCAGAGACCAGCTTCCCTTATTTGTCCTCTCTCCCCACAGCATGGCTGTATTTAGGACCACTCACATCTGGAATTCAATAAAGACTGCAGTGAGCAAGTGGATACATCAATTCTAAGAACCTCAGAAAGTGAGACTGAGCCCCTCCCCAGGACTGGTGCATGACAGGCCCACCCCAGTCACCAGAGCCCAGCTTTGATCTCTGCCACACAGGGTCATGCACCTCCTCAACACAACCTCTCCACAAGAGGGCCCTTGGACAGGAAGTGAGGCCTTCCTTGGCTGGGCGGATGCAAGCCTGGTCACAGTCACTGTTCAGTGGCCTTCTTGTGCACCCCTGGCACCACATTTTTGGCAGTAAAATGGGGTGACCATCTGCTGGATTGGGTGGAGGACAGGGTGTCTTAAGATGTGCCAGATATAGAGCTTCTGAATGATGAAAGCAGATGCTCAGACCCAAGGAGCGCCTCTCCAGGCTCCTCTACTTCAATGTCATTCCCAATCACCCTGGATTCCAGGTCACTGTCCCCAGGAGGCCAGGGATGTAGGGCTGTTGTACTGGCTTCTCTTGACAGGAAGAGCACAAGAGGCTTAAGTAGAATCTTAATGACATCCCTTAAGCACAGGGCTGCCGGATGAACCAGGGGGCCTGACCACTGGTGGCCACCTGCACTATGTGGACCTGCTTCTTCCTACCAGGGCCTCCACTTGGTCCTCCTTCAGCCACAGCAGCAGGGCAGGTGCTCCACAGCCTTGATGCAGATCTTAGGTGACTACAGCAGGAAATCCCAGAGTCTGGGACTGGGGTGCAAGCCCCACAGTGTGGCCTGGCATGGCACAGCCTTGCACAGCATGATGCAGCAAGCAAAATACTTACGCCATGATGATCACACTGAAGTCTAGCCAGTTCCATGGGTCCCGGAGGAAGGTGAATGCATGCAGGCAGAAGCCTCGAGCCAGAATCTTGACCAGAGATTCGAAGGTGTAAATGGCAGTGAAGGTGTACCTGGGAAGAGAGGCCAGTGAGGTAGGCAGGGAGGCTGAAGCCCACGGGCTAGGCTTACCTGGCTCTCTAGTGGTGCAAGGCCCCCAGCTCCCCACACCAAGGGGCTATCACACCAGCTCTCAGAGTGGCCCACAGTCGAGCTGGAGCTGGGAACTGCAGCTCTCTCCCAAGCATCTATCTGCTCAACAGTCGATTCTCTCACTTGCTTTATTGTGCACCTGCCACGTGTCCAGTAAACTCTTCATGTTCTCTCAGTGGTCTAGGTCAGAAGACTCCTACCTATCTCTTTCGCCAGCCTGGGGTCCTTGTGCACAGGTACGTGGTGACCACTGGGTCTGAACCACGGGGCCCCACAGAGAGGCAGAGTCCCTGCTCCTCACCCAGGCACACGGTACTCAAGGCTGACTTGGAGACTACAGCTCCTTTAGCTGCCTATGGCTGCTGTAGCCTGCGGGGCTGCTGTTCTAATGCACAAGGCTGAGTGGAGCTGTTCTGCTGGGAGCAGCCCAAGGAATCAAAAATGCCTGGATGCTGGGACTGGCTGACAGGGCCAGAAGGAAGAGGACCACATCCCAGTCTCGCAACAGCCAGACAGAGCCCCGTTCACACACCACCAGCCTTGTGTGAGTATGGGGGGTGACCTGGAAGATTACTTTTGTATAAAAGGCTGCTGGATGTTCTGTAGTCTCTCCAGGAGCCCAGGCCAGGAAGGGCCTCTGAGTCTGCTTAGAACCTGCAGGGGAGGTACTTTCATCATCTTCTAAGACTGTGTAAATGGCTAGGGGAGGCAGGACCTGGGCAGAAGGCAGCAGGGTACACTACCGATGTGGGACAGCTCGGGCTTCTGCAGCCACAGCACTTGCCTGCATGACAGCAGGCCAGCGATGCTCCAATTCTCAGTCTGCTCATCTGTCCACTAGGGACAGGGCTCATGTCTGCTCTGTTGGGTTGCCAGAGGGTTAAAGGAGGCTGTGCTTGTTGTTCGATGACAGTGCCTGGCATGCACTAAACGCTCAATAAATTACTATTATTATTTCGGAGCCTTCTCCAGTGCCATGGAGACGACAAGCAGAAAGTCCCTACCGTGTCTGCCAATCAGGCCTTCCACTGAGGGCACAATTTAAAGCAAGCACTTGGCAGGACTGAGAAAGGTAAAAGAGGGCAAGAAGCAGGACCAAGGCCACCCACTGGTCTCTGGGCCCGGGCATAGCCTTTTGGATGGCTTTCGGGGTCACAGCTGTGGGATGGAAAATGGAGTGGGGGCTCTGAAGATACTTACTCAACATACTTGGTCCAGGGCGGAGGGTCATGCTGGGCCATGAACACGCAGTTGGTCAGGATGGTGCACATGATAAGCATACTAAAGAGCGTGGCGAGGGTCAAGGAAGACACATGTAGACCCAGTTAGGCTACCACCACAGGATCCTGGGCCTAGGGACAATGCCACCAGGCCAGGCCTTCCAGATCAATAAAAGAGGGGCTCCAAGGAAGTGCACCCTGAAAAGCGCCCCGGTCTCCAGCAGCCTACCCGATCCTTGATTGTGTTTGGCCTGGGCATCCCCAGAGCATGTGACAATGCTCTTACTGCCTCAGCTGCTTATTGAATTCAGACCACCAGTCTCCTGCCACAAAGGGTGCTCTTCAAATGCCAGACTATGTGGGCCTTCAGCCCTGAACTGCACTGGCCCAGGCCTATCGAGCCCTGAGCAGGCTGGACACAGCTCCAACTGGTCTCCCTCACCCCTCCTTCATCCAAGGCTTGGAAGGGCAGGTCCTGTGAAGGGCTGGGTTCCCTGAGAGGCCCGGCCCTGAACAGGGATGCCGTGCCGCCCTCACAAGTCCCATGTCTAGAAGAGAGGCTGGGCCTCCCAGCCCCTGTGGCTGCCCCAGCTCCCAACACCATGCTCAGCCTCAGCCCTCAGCTACCCATAGGCAATTCCCAAAGGCAGCTCAGGAGCTGTAGTAATTGAACTCCAGAGGCTGCCTCCTCCCTCTCCAGCACAACTCCGCTCACCCGATAGGGACGCGAGCACCATCTGACCCAAGCTGGCACCAAGCTGCGCTTGCTTGGTGCAGACTGTCCTGGCTGGGGAGCAGGGGTGGCTCCCCAAGGAATCTAATGGGTACATGCCTTTCCCACCTCCAGACCTTCTGGGAATCTGGGCAACTGAAAAGAAGCCTCCCAAACCCAGCCTCCGGTTTATAATAAATTCTTCAACCACCTTTCTGCTGCGAGAGGTGAGCTGGCTTTGGGAATCCCCTGACTGGATCTGGGCCAGCCCCCAAGACTGCTCAGCCCTGCCAGCACTTGGCTCCAGGAGGCCCTTGGAGAGCCTGGCCAGAAGGTACATCTCTGGGCACTGGTGTCCTCCTTAAGTGTGGCATCGGCCCTGCCCTCTGCCACGACCAGGACACTTCCGCTCTGGCTCTCAGGGGCTGAGCAATACCCATCTCAGAGCCCTCCTCCCTCACATATACAGTCTCCACACCCAGGCTGCTGCCAAGGCTCTTCTCACTGGGTAGACAGTTCACAAGCCCCCCAGCCACGTTTTATTTGTCCCCAAGAGGTCACTGCTAAACTGTGCTCTGGGGATCCTAGATGGTTCCAGAGATTCGCAGGTAATGACACTTACAGTGCACAGTTATCCAGCCCTTCCTAGAAGCCAGGCTCTGTGTCCATTAACTAATCTTCTGTCAACAATCCCTGGAGGGGGAGATTTTGTTTCCACTTTAAGCTATGAGAAAATTGAGGCACAAAGAGGTCAAATTAAAGGTCACTGGTATAGGTAAAATAATGACTCCCCTAAAGATGACTGATTCTGAAGGCCTGGCAACTGAGTACGTCAACTGCTGTGACAAAAGGGACTTCACAGATGTGATAGAATGGAGCACCATGAGGTTGAACCCTGAAGCATCCAAATGGGCCCAAAGCCGTCCTTGCAAAAGAAGGTGTGGGCCAGCACCTTGTGAACCAGCAACTACTGGCTTGAAGACGAGAACTGTGAGCCCAAGAACAGAAAAGCCCAGCAACCAGATTTGTCCTTAGAGCCTCCAAGAAGGAACGTGGCCCTGCTGGCCCCTCAATTTGAGCCCAGGGTAAGAGGATAATCACATGTTGCTTCAAGCCACGGGGTTTGCAGTCACTTGTTTCAGTAGCACTGGGAAACTAAGTGTTTCTAAAACTGACAGGTGGTGGGGCTGGGGACAGACACTGTTCCTAGCCCCTGTTGCACAAGGACACTGCAGGTCACGTGGGCCATTACGCCTCCTGGCTGGAGGGCTAGAAGGAGTCACACGGCTTCTGGCCCTCACCTTCCAGCAGGCTGCTGTTTCTCACTTAGCCTCTGCCGGGGCCAGAAAAGCCTGGCCCTGAAGAGCTTGAGACGGGGTGTCACGAGAAGGAAAACACCTCTGGCTGGACCAGGCAGGAAGGCTTCCTGGAGGAGACAGTTAAAGGGCACCGCAGGCTGGCCAGAGCTCCTCCAGCAGCTCAGGTGAGCCCAGTGGACAGGGAGGACTGGCGCCTCTAAGACTCCTCTCTGTGGAGCAAGATCCTACCCTCGCTGGCCTGACAGATCACAGCACTCCTTAGAGAAAGCCCCTCTCTAGAAAGCAGCTCCGTGGAGGAGCTGCCTTGGACCAATGGACTTGGCTGGACAGACAGAGTGAGTGAGGGCTCCGACACCAAGACCCAGGGGGACGTTAGGGCACAGAGCCTGGTCCTCGTGTGCAGTGAACCACAGAGGCTCGGGGTGAGGACAGGCAGCCTCTCCTTCCCCTGCTGCTCAATGCTTCCCCTCGCTTTCCTGGCCTTGAGGGTGGCACTTCGACTGCCCCATTTTGTGCCCGCATGCGTGTGTGTGTGTGTGTGTGTGTGTGCGTACACAAGTGTGCCTGCACATGCTTGATCACCTCTTACCTAGACTGTGGTTCTGCTAAAGCATTCCCGAGGTCCCCCACTGGGCCCAGCATGTGGCCAATACCAACCGAATGAGTCAATTGAACTCCTGGCCAGGGCACACCTGTTTGACAGCCTGCTAATTTCAGGCCAACGACTGAGCTGATCCTCTATGTGGGAGAGCAGAGGGCCAGCTCTCCAAACCTGTGCTCAGTGGGATATCTTCAGTCCTGTTGTGTCACTGTCCCAGTCATCCACTGCCACCTCAGGAATCAGAATGACAGCAAGGACCGCCTGTACGGCCTGTGGGGTATACCCGCACCTGGGGCTGCTCCAGTCTTCAGGTCCCAGGGAGCCTAAAAATTCCCAAAGGAAAGGCACTCACTGAGGGGTATTTTCACAACTCTGTGCTATTAAATGAACATGCACGTGTGCAAAAGCACACTTGTGCCATATGCACAATGTGACTGCCCATTTGAGTCTGAGAAAGGGATGTGGGAGGGCTGTGTGAGCGGGTGCCATGTACCCAGGAAGGCAAAATGCTTCTTGGAATGAATGTGAGGGCTCACTGAATGTGACCAACATGAAATGTAGAGTTCAGTTGGTTTCTTTTATTTAATCCCGGCAGGAACACATTCTGCAGGGTTATAGCAGAAATACACAGGAAAAAATAAATCTTCATGCACATATGCATGTTTGTAGCAATTTCGAGCGTTGTACTATGAGCACACAGCCAAGAGTCCAGCAAAATCATATAGGTGGTTACCAGGGACCCCTGGGTGGCTACTGGGGAGCAGACTTTCTTGCTAGGTAGAGTCCCATCCCCATTTAAGTTTGTCTTTGCCCTTTCCAAGCAGCCTACTTTACACATGTAGGGGCTTAGCAGATGCTTGAATGAATGCAAAAGTTAACCAGAGTGAAAGTTCACAGTTCTATACATGAGATCTGACTATACATCAGAATGCATTGTGACTGTTACAAGCTTAGGGTTCCTTTTGGGGTGATGGGAAAATAGGGTAAAGGATGCATAATCTTACAAATATATTAAAAGCTACAGAATTGTGAGTTGGAAATGATGTCAGATGATCTATGAAGTATGTCTTCATTTGAAGAAAAGGAAATGAGTGGAGAGCTTGTCGATTCTTAACCTCACGCCGGTGATTCAAATCTGGAAAGGTCAAGGAATTTGTCTTTTAAACAAACTCCCCAGGTGACACTGAGGTGGCCCTCACAGGATGACATTTGAAAACAACCGCCCGAGGGCACTGTGCCTGTGAGGACCTTGCTCATATGCAGGTTCTGGGTGTGGCCCAAGACTTGACAATTGCTACAAAACCCTGAAAGGTGTCCCTCTACATATAATGCCAAGGCTGAAGGGCACAAGGGGCTACTGTCAAACCCACAGATCCTGGCCTCTTCTTCCACTAGGCGGCGCAGTCAAGGGTCAACAATTTGCTCCCATCTCCAGGCAGTAAGTGAAGGTCAAGGCAGCAGGCAGGAGCCCAGGACAGGGCCTCCCACACACTGAGTACTTCCCCAGGGCAGCTGCCGAGGGAGGCAGCCAGCTTGGAGCCCCGAGGGTCAGTCCTGCCGGTCGGAACCGCACTTCAGAGCTGCTGCTGGGCAGACCCTCAGGTCCGGTACAGGACTCCAGTGCCCCTTGCCTCCCTTCCTTCGCCTCTCATCTGCCTGCAGCCCCGCCTAGCAGTGGGGCAGGGCCCTGGGACTGTTGCTGCGTCCCTGGGGCCTTCTGCGGCTGCCAAACAGTGCTGGGTTGGTTAGATACCTGCAGGAGAAGCCCCAGGTGAGAGCTAGAGGATGTTTTCTGGGAGGCCCCGCCCTTGCAGTGAAGCTGGAGACCAGCTCAGGGAGCGCAGGAGCGCTCACCTTTCCTCCTCCAGCTGCTCGGGCGGGCTGGGTGGCTGTTCTATGCGCCAGGCTGTGACCACCCTTTGACAGGAATGACAACTATTTGTGTAGCTGCCTTATCACACAGAAGGGACTGTGGTCTTCCCAAGGGGGCTGCCTTTCACAGCAGGGTACTGGAGAGAACCAGCCAGGCACACTGCAGGGCCCACAGATGAGAGCAAGCTGCTTGCATTTGTGCCCTTGCCCTGGTCACAGTCAAGGGTAAACGCCTCTGCAACCCATGCCAGCTTTTCCCCAGAGCCCCATCCCAAGGCCCCTTCTCTAAGTCCAGAGGAGAGGGGAGGGGGCTGTCACCCACCCCTGTTCGGCCTGAATGAGTACCCTTCTGGCCCAGCAAGGCTGGCACAGTCCTGTATCTCTATGGCACTCCACTGGCTCACTCCACAGGCGGCAGCTTTTTAGACTGTGGTTTATATAATTTAATGCTAACCACAGTTCTCTGAGATGTTCTGAAACTGCAAACATTTTGTCAACACCTAGTCTGAGAGCAAATGTTGCCTCCCTCGAAAGATGCCCACGTGAGAATAAACTGGAGGCCTCTTTACTGGGAAATGGCTTTTCTTTGGTTTAGTCTGCGAGACCTGCCTGAAAGTCCTCCCAAATGGGAGGGAAGACGGCGGCCCCCTGGGGGTGCCGAGTGGGGACACTTGGAGCCTGGGGAAGGGAAGGCTTCTAGGATGCTTTTCTCTGGACCACTGCAGTAGGGCTTACAAGGTTTTGCATGCAAGAGTCCTCTGGGGACCCTGTTAACTCACGAATGCTGACTCAGTTGGTTAGGCAGGGTCAAGGCTCTCCATTTCCAACCAACGGTCAGTCTGCACCCCTTGCCCCACACCAGGACAGGATGGGGGAGAGCCGGAGAGGTGCACAGGACAGGGAGGAACTGCAAAGGATATGAATGAACCAGGATCTTCACAGCTGCTCTGCGCACAGGGTGGAAGGGGCTGAGGATGTACAAGGCATTGGTGGCACTGAACCGGAAGATGGTCTTGCCCTTATTCAGCACGATGAACGTCTGCGGACAGAGACGGGTGTCAGGCCAGGGCAGCAGCTCCTTGGCTGTGTGGAGACAGGCTTGTGGGGGACAGCTGTAGGCTCAGAGCCATAAAGGGTAGGGTGGGAAGGGGCGGCCAGCACATTCAGACAGACAGTGGATGCTCACTGCTCATCTAGTTTAGGGAATGGAGATTCAGTTTCAAAACTACACTGTCAAGAAGAAGGGGTTTTTCATGGTCCTTGCCCAGCTGTCATCACAGCAGAGACCCGGAAGCCCAAGGTTGCCTCCTCCTGGCCTGTCACCCTTTGCTGACCACCCTGCCCTGTGCAGCTTCTTTTCCAGGCTTATAAAAGTGCGGGCCTGACTGGGGACAGGGGCAGGTGGAGGAGGAGAAGAACAGAGAAAAGACAGACCATCCAGAGTCTGTCATCCCATCCCTCACCCCAGAAAAGACAACCTTGCACCTCCCTAGGAGCAGAAGCAGCCCCAGGCTGACCCTCTTCCTGGGCTTCTAAGAGGTCTCTTCTAAAGCGGATTAGGACATGGGAATACTGAGTGCTGCAGGCTGAGCCACGAGCACACAAGGTGTGCCTGGGCCAGGAGCAGCTCCGGAGGACAGCAGGCCTTCCCCACCCTCCCAGCTACACACAGAATAAGTTTCTGTTTAATCTAGACTGGGGAGACAAGGTGTCCAGACAGACAGAGCCCCAAGTTCTGTTGTAGTGTCTCGGCGGCAGCCTGAGGAGGTTCCAGGGGTGTGGCTGGGGACTCACAGGTGAGACAGGAGGTTAGTGGCCATGACCACCCCTGGAGCCACTGTTCAAGCACCTCCAGACTTAGGGGGAGAACAGATGATGATCTCTGACTCCTCCTAGGGGACACCAGCGCAGCCCTATCCCAGGCAGGTCCTCTGGCTGTGCCTCCTGCCTGTTCTAGCTGCCTCCAACCTGACTGCCACCCATCCTTCTCACCATAGCACCTTGATTCAGCTGTGGCCTTCACCTTCACCTCCAACTGTGACCAACCATGATCTTGGCCCACCTACCCTGGCTAATCCCACCTTCCAGCCTGCAAACTCTGACCCCACCTGATTCACCTGAACCAGGGGGAGTTCACCTGCAAGCCTAGGAGCTGGTCCAGTTTCCTGGCTCAAGCTCACACCAGCCATTTACAGGCTTGAACCACAGTCACGCAGACACTGCTCACATGAGCACGCGCTCACACTGACCACCCTTGTCCTATCTGCCCCTCAAGCGTGGCCTCAGCCTGGGCAGGGAAGTGAGCGGTCATCATCTTCATCCTTACTCGGCCTTTGCCGAGGTGGGGGGGAGTTCAGCTTCATCCTGTAGGGTGGGTTGTGACTGTGGCAGCGAGTGTGGCAGTGAGTGGGGAGACCAAGCCATAGGAGGGCCCTGTGCGCCTGGGAGCTGGTTTGGTGCAGGGCAGCTCCCACAGTCCAAAAGCCACTTCCTGCTCTACATTCAGGCGGAACAATGCAGAGCAAGCCCAGCAGTGACTGCCCCTCACACTCTCTCATGGTTCCCAGTGGCTCCTATGGCAGGTCCATAAGATCAGGGGCTGCTGTAGGCCCTGTGGGCACAACCATGCCTAGCCAGGTCTTGGTGTTGCTCGGGTGGGGGGTATATACTGTCTTTGGCTAGGGGAAGGGACCACATGCTGTCCCCTGGGGCCCAAACTTAGCTGTAATTCACACACACACACACACACACACACACACACACACGCACACACACACACACACACGGGACAAGAAGGCATTTCCCAGGGTGACCATCCAACCACAAGTGACTCGCAAGGGTCTCCACGAGGGGAGACGGCTCTCTTTTTCCTTCATGGCATCCAGCTAGCAGCTCATGTTGCACAATTCCCGTCCTTTATTCCAGAACTCTAAAGTGAAAGTGACTGGAATACAGATGACCCACGTGAGTCATCCACACAGCCCAGGGGGCCTGCCCCAAACACAGTGTCCACGGAAGCCAGGTCCACTCAGTAGTCGCATGGGGAACTACATGGAAGGGTGGGATGGGGAGCTCAACAGTCACCTTTTGGGTGCTGTAGAAGGGGTCCAGGTCCTCCAGGGGCTCCCCGATGAGCTCTCGGGGTGGGTTGCCATAGAGATCTGGTAGCTTTTTGGAGGCTTGCAGGTCCAGCTGGGGCCGGGGAGCCTCCTCTTCAGGCAGCCCCTCGCGACTCTCCTGTGAGGTGGCCGAGCCTCGAGCTTGTTTCTCTGCCATGCGCTTCTCAATGGCCGCCAGGGACTCCCGTGTGAACCTGCGGAAGCTGCTGGTGCCCCGAGGTAAGAGGAAGTTTGCCATCTTCTCATCCTGCTTCTGGGGCACAGGCTGTCCTCACTGCTGGGGGGAAGCTGGAAGACACAGAGGGCAGGCCAGATGGGAGGCCAGGGCAGCCGGATCTGGGAGGCCCAGCCATGCTGGTGGAGGGAAGAGCAGCTTTTGCAAAGATGCTCAGGACCCCAGCTTGCCAACCACTGCGCAGGCACTCCCAGTGGCATGGGTAAGGGCAGACCACAGGTCTCCAGCCCGTGGGGCATGCGTAAGTCCCCTGGGGAAGTCACCCAAATGTAGGTGGGCGAAGTCTCTGCAGCACCTTGGTCCTGCCTCATCCAACATGGAAGGAAACACACACTTTTGATTGTTCACGTCAAATACCTTTCAGTGGTGCTATACCCCTGGCAGAGAGGGTGGCCTATGGGGCAGGGACGGGTCCTATGACCCTTTTTATTTCAGATCCCTGGTATAGTTGGCCCTGAACAGATGAAGGATTCAGTAAAGGATGAGTAGCTGGGCATCAGAAGGGTCTGGGTCCTACCCTCCTTTCTGGGACAGATTCCCATCCTGAGTGGTATCTCAGCTATACCCGTGTGTGTGTGTGTGTGTGTGTGTGTGTGTGTGTGTGCGTGTGTGTGTGTGTGAAGTTTGTAGATTTCACCTGGGGTGTCAACTGCTGAGACATCTATCTTTCCTATAGGAGACCCAGGAAGACCCTGTGGATGCTCAGAAACACGTGGCTAACAACTTTGGAGCTGTCATCCAGATGTTGGCACCCTGAGGCATACAGCTGTGTAAGAGTCCCTGCTGGGGATCTCAAAGGACTATGGTGTCCCCATATTCCTGACTCCAAAGCACCCACAGCGCCTCTGGCTCCCCCACCCCTTCTTCCCCTTCCTTCCACCTGTGAACAAATAAATTCCAATTTCAAGGGACAGCAGAACCGGAAAACCATGACCACTACTGATGCATGTGATGTCAGACTGGGAGAATGTTGTCCCTGGTGGCCTCAAATGATCTAGAAAGTGGTGTGAACACAATGCCCATGACAGCAAGGCAGAAGAATGCATTCCTGACTGCCCCACCAAAACAGGATGTGGTCAGCAGGGCTCTGGATGTGACAACTGAGTTGGAGACCACATCGCTAATGACTACATCAGACCCGGGAAAGGCCAGGCACTGGCTCCACAGGACACGGTGGGCACCTGTTGTCCATCTCGCCAGGCTAGAATCTCTTCATGTCAACTGAGGGCTTTGCCTTCATCTTACTCCTACAAAACATGTCACCGAGGGGACCCCGCACTGCTGCTGCACCCGCTCCTGCCTAGATCCAGCGAATGGCCTAGACCTGGGGCCCCCGAGCACCAGGGACTGCAGGTATCTGGCCATGTGGCAGGTAAGAGTGGGACACACAACAGCCCCCCGCCTGGAAGGCGCCTCTGTGTCCTGGAAGTGCACACAGATGCAGAGGGGAGGCGGAGGGCAGGGCGCCCCTGCACCCGCGTTTCGGAGCCACCCGTCCTCTGCATCTTTTTCTAGTTTCATTCACTTGAAGGTGAAGAGAGTCTCCAATCAGATTAGCTGGTGAGGGACTAGTTTCCACTTTCAAAGGTCCTGCCAGAGGTCCTGTCCACCTCCCATCTGTGAGTGAACAGAGAGACATCCGAACATGTCATGAAATGTGAGTAGTTCTAGCTGCGGGGAATAGGGACAAATTAAAACTTACTTTGCACTTTTTTGATTGCCTGAATTTGTTAGTCTGAGCTCATAAAAACCATAAAGACATCATTCTTCTGATCTAAAAAATAAATACCCAGCCTGATGACAGCAGTCCCTTGCAGGGCAACCCTTCTCCACTGTGAGCAATCACTAGCTCTATAAATTGGGAAGCCACCCCTTTAGCTTGGAATTATTTACTAAAAATAGTGTTCCCTGTCTCACTGTATCCATCTGTGTCCATATGCCTGCAAGGGTTCTGGAGACACGTGTATGCCCATGGATGTACAGAGGCTCACTGGTACACACCAGCAAAAGTGTGTGTGTGTGTGTGTGTGTATGTGTGTGTACAGGCTTGCACCTACATGTACATCTGCTCTAGTAAAGAGGTGTTTGTAATTTGTGTTGCAATAAATGATTCATGCAGAGAGGTGCACATAAGTGTACAGGTGGATGGATTTCTAAAACTGAACACACTTGGTAACCAGCACCTAGACGAAGCCAGAGATAGTTTCTACTCGGTCCCTTGCTCTTGGGTTCTCTTCCAGACATCGCCCTCCTCTGCCAAGGGTAAACTTCCTCCTGACTGCTGAGTGGATGAATGGGTTTCGTCTATCCAGTTCGGTGGCTCTTCACAGACCCCTTGGAAGGCTCGGGAAAGGATTCAGGGGTGGAGGGGAAGAAATAGCATCTCTTTTTCGCCAGAATCCCACTCAGTTTTAGCATTTCCTTCATCTACCAATGTAGGCAACAAACAGAAGTGCTCACACTCCCGCTGACCACGAAGCACTGCTAACCCTGTCCCTGAAGAGCTGCTGCTCCTATCTTGAATATTGTTAATGCTTGTCCTACTTCAAAGTCACAGTACTAGACCTGCTGCTCAATGTTATTTAAAATATTAAAAAAGAAGCATATATATTACTATCAAAATTGACTTTCAAGTGTTCTCAAAGCTGCATTCAGTACAGCGGTTTCCTTTTTAATCCTGTATGGTTTGCTTGATTCTGAGATGACTTTACCCTGGCTTGGTCCCTGCTCAGCCGCTGACTCTGGGGTCCCCTGCTCCACCCCTCACTTTCCTTGTCTCTGAGTTGAAAGAGGAGGACAGAGACAGTGTCCTTGTGAGATTCTCTGGTGGTGGGCTCTGCCTGTCCTTGCTGCCGGTGGCTCACTCCCCTGGGCTCTGTGTCACGTGGCAGGGATGGAGAACACGTGGAAGGCTCCACTGGCAGGAACCTGGCCTAGGGACCCAGCCTGTCCAGCCCTTGAGCCCAATTCCACCCTGAGTCCAGCTGCTGCCCAGCAGGAGAGCCAGAGTAACCTGCAGGGGCTAGGGGCCAGGTCTCGGAGGACGGAAAGTGACCAGAGGCACTCGGAGCCCTGAGGATGGGGCCCTGGTTCTGAGAAGGGGCTTATTCCACTGGCCTCCCTCAGATCCCTGGCTGGGGAGGGTTACCGGCCATCCAGGGGAGGGGCTGAAACCAGAATCCAGATGAAATTCCCTGCTCCCCAGCAGCCAGGCAGCCTCAGGTTCCAAAGTAAACATGCCAAGAGTGTCTTTTGTCTCTGTGCCCGCCCCCCACCGGCTCAGAGTGGGCAGGCAGGATCCGTTTTCTGCCTTGTTCTCTGGCTGCCTGCACCTGGCCCTGGCCCTGGCCCTGCCCTTCCTCCAGCAGCTCAGGGCCCACACCCTGCTGTGGCCAGGCATGGCTGAGCCCAGGCTGCAGGCTCCTAGATGCCAGGAGAAGAGGACTCATGGGTAGCCATGCTCAGAGCGCAGGTTGAGGAAGTAGCCTCAGCTGGCGGGGAGGCCTCACCTCTGACTGTACAGGGCTGTCTTGGAGATACCTGAGCAGACATCATCTGACAGCTCCAGTCAGCTGGGGAGGCTGTGACAGGTCTGATTCCAAGCCACAGCCTCGTGTGAAGTCTCAGAGGCCAGTAGCATACAGGCTGCCCCCCCAGGACAGCTCCTCGCTCTGCACCAGCCCTGCAGTTGTTGGTCACCTGCAGCTTCTTCCATGAGCCCGTGGCCCAGGCCAGTTTCCTGCCCTTCCATTCCACTTGGAAACTCAACTGCTCCTGTGCACCTGTGCCTGCCTCTGGTTGCCAGGTTCACTTGGCCCTCTGTGCCTCTGACTCCAGAAAGTGAAGACAAACTGGCTTCACCTTTCCAAACTGCCTCTTCCTGATACCTCTTCTGACCCCAGTCACCAGCCTCCACCCATCCTCATGGGCTCCCAGTGCTGCCTTCTCCATGGCCTTCCTGAACCCAGGGGATGCTCAATAGGTGACCAACCAATGGAGCTGACAGTCCTGTGACATGGAACCCACAGGCTGCAGCATGGGCACGGCAGGTGTGGGGGCCTGGCTTTCATGGGACTTTGCTGGTTTAAATTCCCACCTCCCAGGACAGCCGGTCACAGGGGACGAGGAAAGAACTGACCTGTTGCAGCCTCTCCCTGCCCACTCCCATCCCAGATCCTGAAGGCAGGCACACTCCAGTCCTGAGTCATGTCTGGCATTTTGGTCGCCTTGGAATTGGAGTCTCTGGAAACCAACATGCAAAGAATATTCTCTGCCATGTAAATTTATGCAAAGCGCTCTGTGGAAGTGGCTCCATGCCTTCCTAGGAAATCTCTGCCAGCTTCTTTCCTCTGGCCTTCTTGGCTCTGTGCTCCTGTCCCCTGCCTGGAGGTCTGGTGACCTCAGGCCACTCCCCATGGGCCACCTTGCCCAGCCCTGTGGCACGCTCTTCTGCCTGCCCCTGGGGAGAGGATGTGGGTAACACCAAGGCAGAGGCTCACTCCCCAGAGGAGGAGAGCAAGGGGTCAGTAACTCCTGGGCACATCCTAGTCACACCATCTGTGCGCACAGGGCTCCTGCTCTCCGATGAGTACGATGGGACACCTGAAGAAGATGGGTGTCCTTAGACTTTACACTGACCACAGTGGGGACAGAGGTCGAGATTAGCAGAAATCTGACAAGCCCAGGACCCCAGACACCAACGTAAGAACTGGGGATCTCACTCCGGGCCTCACTGCCTTGCAGGCACCGGGCAACTTCATTTCTTCCTGGAGAACATGCTGACTAAGGTGCACCTCGGCTCTCAGCTCTCAGCTCACAGCTCACTTCATTAACCAAAGGAATCAGTCAACATCTAATCAGTGACCACTGTGTACTCGGTCCTACAGCTGACTCGGCAGGACACTTTGCTTCCCAAGGTGGATTCCAGGTCAACAAGTGACAATGAGAAAATGAACAAATCATCAGCAATGAGCCTCCAAGCTGACTTGCTACCCAAATTTGCTGAGTTTGCCAGAGGCAATGCCCTGAGCCAAAGAAGCTGCCCCTGTGGCCACACTGGCCTCCTCTGTCGGCCTCCCTGCTTCCTCCCCCTCCTTGAAGATTTTCTGTTTTATGCGGAAGTGGTAAGCCAGCTTACCCCCAGGACCCTTGGCCCTGGCACTGATTTACCATGTATCCTTGGGCAAGTTAATGACATTTCTCCAGCTCAGTTTTCCCATCTGGAAACGGGTATAACACATGGATAAGTTTCTAAGCCTGGTACACAGGTGTGTTAGGTGACTAGCAGGAGATTTTATCACTTGGTGATCACTGTCATCTCACTCCTGTGTAACAGTGAGCCTCCTTAGACAATTCTGCCATCGTGTGCACCCCACAGAGGACATTCACACAGCCCTGGCTGGTGTAGGTCAGTCACCTGATGTGGTCTCTGTTTTTTCTGGCCTCGCTGCTGGGGATTGCACCCACATGCTAAGCACACCGTCTATCACTCACTGAACAACTCAAAACTTAATATGGCCTCTTGATGTAGTCAAGAGATAAACAGACGTTGTGTGAGGCCAGTGCCAGCATAACGGGCATATTGGTCTACAACAGACTTTGTCTTTTTGAGACAGGGTCTCACTATGCAGTTCGGGCTGGCCTGGACTCACTTTGTAGCCCAGGCTGGTCTCGAACTTGCAACAATCCTCTTGCCTCAGCCTCCAGAGCACTGGGATTACAGGCATGTGCCACCATACCTGGCAGGAATAGTTTCTAAAATAACAAAAAAAGGGCAGTGCAGTAAATATGCAAACTGGTAACACAGTCATTTGCCATCATACTATGTGTTGGACATCACTGTGTGTGCTACACTTTTGCTCTGAGGTGTCCCCAGGCTGGGCTTGAATGCAAAATCTTCCCGCCTCTTTTTTTCCTGGTGGTTGGGTCACAGAGCTGTGCTCCGCTCTCACTACGGACAGTGTGGTAGGTTTGCAGGGCCAGCAGTGCCACCCACACACGAATGACGAGCTGGTGTGGCACTGTGATGCTCACACCTCCCTGAGTGATGGGTGTTCTGCAGCACTGCTGTAACCTCATGGCACTGTCCACTCTTGACAGGGACGCTGACCCACACACAGCGCATGTTACTGACCTCGTAGTAGACCCAGCCTTCCTCACAGCCCTCCCCGGGGCTTGCTCTTTCCTGCTCTGCATTCCTGCCACACCTGAATCCCCACACTTGCCTCATCACAAGATCTGCTTCCACACGAGCTCCCAAAGCGCGGCTGGCGCAGGGATATGCTCATGCCTGAGGAGTGAGCAAATGGATGCGATATTAACCATTCCCTTGCCCAGCTGCAAGCCCACTTTGTGACCCTGGTCCCCTTTTGGGACCTCAGTTCCCTAGCTCTGAGCTGGGGTGGGCACAGGACTAGGGGCTGTCCACAGCATTGCACCTTATCTCCACTTTGTTTCCTCCTTGCAATAACCCTGGAAGGTGTATCATCCTGTTACCTAGGGAAGGCTGAGGATGAGGGATCAGGTATCTGGATGGAGATGAACCACTGCACTACACTGCCTTTTGCCTTTAGGGCAAGCAGAGCTTCGAGGAAGAGACAGGGCTTACTGTGTGTGGCTACCTGTCTGGTCTGGGCAGCCAGGCTAACAGCGACTGGCATAGTTGAAATTGATGCCCACACTTGGGCAAGGGCTCCCAGGGAAACCTGGGCAATTTTTGCCCATGCCCAGAGGCAGCAGTTTCCCTGCAAAAGTGACTCCCAGCACTTTCCTCTCCAGCCCTGGCACTGTGTCTCACGCAGCGGCAATTCACCCACTTGCGCTCAGATGGAGACACACTCTTGGGAATCTACACCTTTTGGAGGCTTCCAAGGAGACAAAGAATGCCAACTATTTCATTAATAATTTTTATTGATTGAGGGTGAAACATACCGTTTAACTTTGATAATATACTGGATCAAAAACATTAAAATTAATCTCGTCATTTTTTTTTTTTACTTTTTTAAAACATAGCTGCTAGAAACATCTAAAATTGCACAGTGATATGCTTTTGTGGCTTCTATTATTTTTCTGCTGAATAGTACAGAAAAGCATACAATTCTGGCCACCAGCCTCTAAGTACAGAAGGCCACCTGCTGGGGGGCTGAGGCCTTGGGCTGGCCTGCAGGGTGGGGGGTCCAGGAGTGTGGGTGGGTTGACGGGGAGCTGTCCTGGCAGACATGAGTGACCCTCCTGGTCTCTAGCAGTGGTGGTGGGTGGTTGTGGAGTTCATGCCACAGGTTGGGGTGGTGAGGGGAGGGGAGAGGTGGACAGTAGGCTCCAGAGACCCCTGCCAGCCCACCCAGGCGATCACCCAGGGGCACGTCTTGCCCTGGGCAACACTGGGAGAAAGGCTCTGCAGGGGTGCCCAGCTGGTGCTGTGGCCTATGCATTCAGGTCTCTGCTCCCTGATCAAAGGCACATTGACACATCCTTGCACAAGAGCCTCAGCTAACCTGCTCCCTGCAGGCTCCACTCCTTTGAGAATGCACAAGCATTATTAACCCTGTCCCTCCCTGACCGCAGAGCGGTCCGCAGGATCCGTCCCTCCACAGTCCCCGTCCCACCTCCAGTGATCTTGGGAATCCTGCAGAATCACCCCCATTCCACCCAGAGGCAAACACGCCCAGCCCAGAAGAAGCCGGGGATGCCCTCATTTACACACATTTGCATCTCATTTATTCCAGCACCGGGCTGAAGCCGAGGCTAATTCAGCCGACTGGAAAACCCTACCCGCCTCAGCTCTGCCGAAGTGATTCTCCAGGCTGGGGAACACGGGTCTGTGAGACCAGGGTTCCACCCAGGGGCGGGAGCTGAGGGGAGAGCTAGCACCTTCAGTCCTGTGCTGCATGTAGCTCACTTCTCAAAGACAAGTCAGCATTGCGAGTTCCCTGAGAAGGTGCCCCCAAACCTGCTTTCGCTCCCTGCCCCTCCCCCACAGTAAGGAAAGGGGTCAGGACTTGACAGTGGCTCACTCACCCTAGGAGCCGCTCAGCAGCATCTGGGTGTTACGCCCAGAAAACAGTGAATGCCCCCAGGCAACAGCACCCTCTCTCAGCCCCGTCTTCCTCATGAGCCCCTTTACTGGTCCAGGAGCAGGGGATCCCTAGTGCCCTAGTGCTGAGTGGTGCCATGGTGCAGGCCAGTGCCAACAAAGCCCCCAGAGTAGAAACCTGGAAGGTCCTGAGATCACAGCAGCCCAGATTACGGACCCAGATCAGTCACCAGGGTCACTTCCATCGCAGACCCAGAGTAGGTGCTCACCCAGGACACATACAATCAGACCGAGGAGGTGCCCACAGATGAGAGGGGCCCCCAAAGATTCCCACAGATGCCGGCGAGACAGCAATCAGCATCTTGACTCCAGAGCTCTGTTCCTCCAAATCATTTGTCTGGATACCTGAGCTAAAAAAAAAGCTTTCACGGGCAAACTGTGTACTGATGCCATGGCGACAAAGGCATTTATGGGGAGCCTACTACGTGCACCAAAGGAGACAGACCTGCCCCCAGGGGCACCTGGGAGGCCCACCTTCTGAGGTCCCTTACCACCCAGTGGGAGAAATGCGATCTGCCAAGAAACTAAATCTATGTCACTAGGGTGTCCGAGACACAGCACAGGCAAATGTGCGCTCTCTTCCCCCGGTGCACTTAAAATGTCATACACAGAGTTCAGGTGCAGAGGTGGGTGCACTGTGGCGGAGGCACATATCCTGTACTGCTGCCTCAGGGTAGTCAACACTGCCAGGCCCCAGAATGTCCCTTCTGCCCCTTTCAGCCACTGTTTGGACCTCTGTCCCTGAGGTCACTTCACACATAGGATGGCTCTTCAGTCTCAGCCTGCTTTTGTTCAACAACGTTTGAGAGATTTTCAACTCATCATTGCTGGGGGTGCCATCTAAGTTCCCTGGGCACTGCACTGTGAACACGGGCACTCTTGGGGACAAGTCGAAGGAACCTGATATCCAGGCCCCTCTGGGGAGTAGGCCACAAAGGAATCTTAGGGATCATTCTCTCTCTCTCTCTCTCTCTCTCTCTCTCTCTCTCTCTCTCTCTCTCTCTCTCATCCCCTTTCCAGGGAACTCAGCAATTCTACATGGAATCGGCACCCAGTCTCTGAAAGTGAGGTGGCTTTCCCTGGGTTTCCACCTTTGTTGGCAACCATCTGTCACTTTATTTAGCTGGCAGTCTGCGCAAATCAGACCCAACGTGGTGGTGGCTGCTGCTTCTTGGCGTAGGCCTGACTGTGGAGGCAGACCTCTGGCCCTCAACCTCCCGCTCCGGACCAGTCAGCGGGGGTGTCCAGGGCGGGACCTCAGTTCCACGGAATGGACTCAGGGGTCGGTTGTTTTCTGGGGAATCCACTTGTCTCACCTGCTTCCTCCTTTTTCTGCAGTCCAAGAGGCTGGGGCAAGGAGGGCTGGGCACAGATGGGGCTGACTCGGAAGCTCCTCCCCTGGTCTGTGCCTGCCCACTCCAGTGGGTGGGGAAGGGCTAACGGGGCCTGAGGACTGCTTTGGAGCCAGAAGCCAGACTACCTTTCCCCACCTCGTTCTTGAGCCCTTCCTTCACTCAGGCCTTCGGGAAATCAATACCCACTAGAAAGCAGTTGCTACCCTCTAAGTGCCAGGAGGGCTCCCCATCTCTTCCCACAGAGCAAGGGTACCCCGGGCTGAGCACGCCCCCGCATCCCCATGCCAGCACCATCTCAGCCTGCCTGGGGTGTGAGGAAGCAGTGACAGCCAGTGGGATGAGGACAGAGAGACCTAAAGAAGGTGGGGGACTGGCCCACCACGCAGCTGTGCCGGGCAGCTCCGTCCTTCTCCACCTGCGTGCCATGTGGGGACCCACTTTCCGCCTCCCTGGGAGACTGAATCACAAGAAACTGGAGGACAGAGGTCTGAGGCCTCCAAACAGAGCAGCGGAGCACAAATACTCTCTGCCACTACCAGGCCGGAGGCTGGCATTTCCTCTCTTCCACCTCGAATTCCAAGCATCATCCCCAGCAGGCTCCAATCCCAGAGGCAGGATCTTACCCCTTTGATCTCTGCAAATCCCAAGCATCCTCCACAACCGGGTCCAAGCCCTCCTCTTCCAGACAGCCGACCCTGGATGCTCTAGGAGATTCCAATCAGCCCCAAGGAAGCTCCCCCTAACTCCATGGCTTTCAGCCCGTGGGGTGAACTCGAGAGACCCTGAGGGCCCTCAGGGTCCCCCTCTATCCCTCCACAAGTGAAAACAGAGTGAGAACAAGGTAAAAACTGTCCAGTCTGCCGGTGGCTGCAACAGGCGCTCATCAATTACCTTCCAGGGCCCGGATAGGTAGTTCCCCTCTGGCGGTGAGGTCTGGTGGCTGACCCTAGCCCACAGCTGTAACTCTGGAGGAACGCGGGCCAGCAGAGGAGGTGACACAAGGTTCAAAGAATTTATATCAGATGTCCCTGGGGTCGGGCCAGCAGTGGTGCCTGCCCACAAAGCCTGGCCTTGGACTGTCTCCCCTATCTGAGGGTCCCAAGTCTCAGGAGTTGACGTGGGGTCTCTATAAATAGTGCCATTCCATATTGATCATCTTAAAAAGACACGGTATGTTCTGGGCCCACAGAGAGAAGAGCCCTGTCTAAAAATAGTTTCTTTGCCAGGAACCGCTGCCAGCCGAGGCGAGTAGTGCGAGCCATCATGGCTGAGGGGGACAGGCCACTGAGAGGTGGGGTCAGTGTGAGGCATGGCACGTTTCTACGCCACCCTGTCTGCACACCCTGGGTGTGTGCTGGTCTCAGGGCCTTTGCACTGGCAGCTTCCTCATCAACACCCTCTCTCAGGATCTCCTCTGACTTGGCTCTTTCTCACAGCTCAGGCCTCTCATCGGCCTCCTCCTTCATGAGGCTCTCCCTGTCAGCCAGTCTAGAATCACCCTGGCTCTCCAGTCACATTCTGCTTCATTCCTTTTGAGCATGGTCCCTATGGACTATTATCTTCTGAATCTACTTGTTTAGTTTTAACCAGTCTGTCTTACCCCAGCAATATACAAACTTCAAGACAGCAGTTACTGCAGATCTTAAGGTACCTTCTAGAACCTTCCATGGCATCAATGGCCTCCCCAGGCTCTCCCCACCAACCCCGGCTGAACTTGGCCTCAGACCTGTGGCAGGCCAGCCTGGGCTGGCAGGAGGTGTGGTTGGTGGCCACAGCCTCTGCTACCCTGGGGCTGTACCCAGCCTCTGTCCACAGTGGTCCGTGGGCCTCCCCTTCCCTCTCTGCTGTCTCCGTGGCTTGGAGGTGGGGCTTTCACCCCTATCTCTCTTCCCTCTTCAACCATCAAACCCCTTGAAAGTGCTGTCTACACGTCCTCACCTCCTGCTCACCCTCAACCCACACTCCCAACTGGCTCCCATTCCCACAAGGCCACTCTGATGCACCCATCCATTCATTCAGGAGTCCACTAGTGCAGGGCACTGTACTCTCCGAGTGCAGAGTGTTGCCGGCACCCTCTAACTCTCACTCTAATGGGCCAAGCTTTCTCATCTACCCAGAAACTTCCTAGCAGGAACCAGCGGAGCCACCCCTCTTCCCTAGGACTCCCCCACTCCGCCACCTGGCCAGTGCCCGCTCCTGGCTTCCTCCTATCTCTGGCTGCTTTCTCCAGCCTCCTTCCTAGACTCTGGCCTGTAGCCGAAGTGCCTTTGGCTCCTGACTCAACTCTCTTCCCTCTCACCCCTCCACCACAAGGAGGCTTTCCTGAGCTCCACCCGGGAACCAACAGGCTCAGGGGCTGGAGCTCGGCATCAGCCCCAGTATTTTTATGGAAAGTTTTCCAAGTGACGTTGATATTGTCAGCACTGAGAGACAAAGGTCTATATTCCCTCCGGACACTAACTCACCACTGTGGCTGGCCCAGGCTCTGAGAGCCGAGAGCCCTAGCTCCTTCCTGACCCACCCCCGGCTCCCGTGGGTGGGCAGCGGCTCTCTGAAACACCTTGTAGCTTCCTCCTGTTCTCTGCCCCTCGCTGGTCCCTTCCCTTCTGGGAGTGACACAGGGCCCTGCTCCTCACTCCTTGAGCCTCTGAAGTCAGAGATGGCAGAGCAGGGTGTCCCTTCCTGGGGACAGAGGCATGCTGCATGTTCTGTCACCTACAGTCACCTGTCTGTCACCTCTCCCTGTGCCAGGGTACGGCGCAGATCCACTGACACCTGGGCTCCAACCCAAGTTTTGCTCCCAGGATGGGTGTGGCAGCGCACAGCGACTCTGCCTTCTGGACCCCACTTTCACCCTCAGCAACGTGGCTGGCCGCTACTGCTGTCCTCTGCCACCAGGAGTGACACAAGGAGAGGGGCCTCACAAAGGGCTCAGGGTGCCCAGGCCCGCAGCAAGCACGCTGTTCATGTCAGCTATTTTTATACCATTACTGAGGACAAATCCCCAGTCCTGAGCAGAGCTCACAAGGGCTTTCACTCCATTCTTCTCTCCTCGTACCACAGACCCAACAGCACATTCAGCTAATTAATATCTGTGCTGGTTCACATTCCCTGCTTTTGTGCATGCTGGTTCTGAGGGCTGGACTGTGCTCTGAAAACTCCTATTTACCCCTCAAAGCCCAGATGGAAGATTATTTTGGTTACAAAGATACTTTTGATGGCCTAGGCAAAGGTAATCACTCTCCTCTGAGTGGGCTCTGGGGTCACACTTTGACCATTGCACACCCTTCCAGAAACCTCCTCCAGGATCAGCAGGGTCTAGGTTCTTGTGAGAGAGGCGTATGCTGTGGAATCTGCCAGAGGAACGCTGCTCACCACGGACAGCCCAGGGCAAGCCATACTGGCTAAAGGCCCCTTCCCTTTCTCCTTGGATCCTCCATCCCCGAGTGGTGCCCTGGATCCAGTGACTTTCTACGTGACCTTGAATAAGTCCTTGATGCTCCCTGGGCCTCAGTTTCCCTAGTTTTACAGCATGGCGGTGAGAGGGTTCTGTTAAAAGTTCAGTGAGGCTCTTGCAGCACTGTGGCTGCCCTGGCAAAGAATCTGCTCCATACCTGCCCGTCCCCTTCTGTCCCCAGCCTGCTGTGATAGCTGCCTGTCCTCCCCTCATTCCTCCCCATCGCTGCGGCTCATGTGCACCTGCCCGGGTCTCACGGGAGGGGATGAGGTCAACAAGGCCAGGGCTTCTGTTGATCTTTGGGTCAGTGGACAGCTGGGAGAGGGTCCAGGTGCCCGGTGTCCTGGAGGTCATGCAGTGTGCTGGCTGGATGACACTGCCTAGTGTCTCTGGGAGAGGAGCTTGAGGTCTCAGCCAAAGGTGAGCAGATAGCTGGGGACCGGAAAGCCGACTCAGGGCCTCAACAGGATTCTGACCCCAAGACCCCAGGATGGGCTCAAGGCCTAAAGAGAAACCGCATGAGTTGTGCCACAGCTACCCTCCAACAGGTGTTTTCCAGGTGGGCTTGCGGCCAGGGGTTTGTCCCCAGCATCTCCCCGACCACCATTCCTGCCACCACAATTCTTTACAGCTCCACCTCCACTAGCCCCCCAGAGCTCCGAGGAGACAGAGGAGTCGAGGAGGTGAGAAGCGCCTCCACTTCCTCCCACAGCGCCACCAAAGACATCTAAACAACACAGAGGTCAAGAGCAGCCTCCCAGCAGGGCGGGTGCCCGACAGAGGACTCCCCCAGTCTCAGTGCCCAGAGACCTCTCTGCCTTCAGAGCACACAGAAACCATGCATAGGCGACGCGGCCACTTTAGGGCGAGCGGGCACCGAGATCTCCGCGTGCTTCGAGTGCCCAGGGTAGGAAACGCAGCGCTCTCTCCTGCGTAAGAGCGCACCGAGCTCTCCTGTAAGGCTCGCAGAGATCTCGTCCAGCAGAGACCGCAGCTCCAGCCGGAGGCTCCCCCGCCCGCCGGCCCGGAGAAAGGGTGCTCGGCCTTCTCCCACGCTCCCGGCTCTTCTCGGCCACCCTTCACCCGCGCTCCCCGGCACACGTCGGCTGCGCGCCCCGCCGCTCTGACCTTGGGGTCTCCGCCTCGGGAATCCGGGTTCCTATTCCAGAGCCTCCGGGAGCCTGCGCCGGGGGTGGCCGGGAAGCCGGGCCGCGCACCCTCCCCGGGCCCCGACAGCGCGCGGGGAAGCCCGCAGGGCAGCGAGGGGAGGGGCGCCGGCAGCCCCGCGCTGCGCCCCCCTGCGCCCCTCTCCGCTTCGAGGGCGCAGGGGGAGAGAGCGGCCGCGCGGACCGGCAGGGCGGGCGGGGGCCGCGGCGCTGGAGGCTCCGGCCCTCGGGGGGACCGCGGGGCGCCGGGGAGGGCCGGGCGCGGGGCGCGGGCGCTCGCTCCTCACCTGCGGGTCCCCGCCTCGCCGCGGGCGGCTGCGATGGGCGCGGACGCGCTCGGCAGCGGCTCCGGGCTCGGCGCAGGCTCAGCAGCCCCGGGGGCGCGACCCTCGCATCCCACGGCGCGGCGGCCGTCTCGGCTCCGGCTCGCTCGGGCTCCGGCTCGCTCGGGCTCCGGCTCCGGCTCCGGCTCCGGCTCCGGGCTCGGCGGGCGGGTGGGGGCGGGGTCGGGGGCGGGCCCTGCCGGCTCGGCCCGGGCTCGGGGCTCCCGGCTGACTCCGCCCCGAGCGCCGAGCCCGCTCCGCACGTGGCGCTCCGCCCGCGGCCCGCGCCGGGGCACACACCCCCGCGCAGACCCGGGGCGCCCCGCCATGGACAGCACCCACGCGGACGCGGACGGCCGTGGACCAGGCGCGCGGCAGCGTGCGCACACCGGCCTGGGGACGCGTCGCCACGGAGAGCCACCCACGCCAACACAGACAGCCACGCGCCGGGCGGACAGCGGGCACACACGCGCGCATACACACTCACACACACCCCTCCTCGCTGACTCGGAGCCCCACTGCAGACACCTGTGCACATGGCACATCCATACTGCGACAGACGTGTACTCCCCTCTCACATTCGGATACACACACACACACACACGCACATACACACATGCACACAGATACATCGCTGACACACACTGACACCAAGGCAGACACCCTGACAAACCCAGGGACACCTCATGACTCAGGAACCCACATCCACGGTCACCACACACACACACACACACACACACACAGAACCACAGTGTCCTAGGGACACACAATCATAACAGGGAAACTTGAACAACGGTGGATACATCCACAGACACACGGACACAATCCAGAAGCCAGCACACACCCAGACCCAGATTAAGCACGCAACCAACACCCACGCAGGCACAGACACCCATTCACACACCCCCTCCCCCACCTTGTGTAACCTGGGTCTGGACACACAGAGACCCAGTCACCCTGACAGGTCACAGTCTCGCACTCAAGGACACTAATGCAGGCGTGCACACACTTCGAGAGGCGTTCTTGCACACGTGGGCACCCATGTATGCACCTAGAACTGCAGGGTAGCACCCAGGGCCCGGGAGCTCACTTCTGCTGTCCAAACCAGAAGGGCTACCAGGCTTTGCCTGAGGCCATAGAAGGGACAATGCACTTCCCAGCTTGCAGTGGCCACTGCTCAGAGCCGTCACAGAAGCACGTGTGCATGCGTGCACACACACACACCCTTGGCCTTCATCAGCGACAGCATTTTACTTTCTTCTGTCCCCATTTTCAGGGCTCCTAGATGCACGAACCAGCCACTCCTGGAAGGTAGGCTGTGCTGGGGTCTCCAGGCCACTGAGGTGCTGGCTTTGGGAGTGCAAGATGCAGGATCGGCCCCTTCGTTCTAGGGACCTTGAGGCTGAGTTGGGGGGAGTGTCTTGGAGACCTGGATATGGGGATACAGGGGACGCGGGTGCCTCACGTGGGCAAGGAGGGACTGGTTTCATAGAGGCTCAATAAAAGTCAGTCTACCACATGCAGAACTCATCTCCCAGCCCGGCCAGGGCACCAGGCTGACCGACACAGACCTGCCATGCGGGCTTGTGCCTCTGCTCGGCCTCGTCTTGGCCAGCAGCTCCCACTAGTGGCCAGAGTGAGATGCCCAGTCAAGCTCCAGAGTGGACGCGTCTTCCCGGAACTCGCAGGCGGTTCGCTGGAAGAGAGAGCAGGAACCACAGGAATGAAGATTATCGGGGGCGCAAGAATTTCAGGCCCATCCGGAGCGAGGCT